CAGATCCATACATACAGGCATCATGGGAAAAGGACCCCGCAGAAGGAACCTTCAACTCGGAGAGGTTACAGCAGCAATTTGCAGACATGTACAACATACTTCACCAACTGCGTGTAGAGCGAAACCTTAAGCCAGCGATACAATGGGCGCGGGAACGCAGCGAGCTCCTAGAAGCTCGGGGCAGTAATCTTGAGTTCGAGCTCTGCCGCCTTCAATTCGTCTGTCTCTTCGACCCGCACAAAAACCAGGAAGCCGACGACGACGACGATGCCATGTCCGACAGTGAAACGCCCAGCGGACCCCTCGACGCCTGGGCCTACGCCCGCCGCGAATTCGCCCCCTTCCAAAAGCGGTACCATCGAGAAATCCAGCAACTCCTGGGCGCCATGGCATTCTGGCAAAACATTCAAGACTCGCCCTACGCCCGCCTCTTCTACAATAACACGGCCTGGGAAGAAGTCGCCCACTCATTCAACCGAGAATTTTGCTCCCTCCTCGGCCTCAGCGCGGACTCACCCCTCTTCATCGCCGCCACCGCCGGCGCTATTGCCCTGCCCTACCTCCTCAAGATGCAATCCATCATGAAGGAGAAGCGCACGGAATGGACCACGCAGGACGAACTCCCAGTCGAAATCCCTCTACCCAGCCAGTACCACTTCCACTCCATCTTCGTCTGCCCTGTCAGCAAGGAACAAAGCACTGATACTAACCCCCCGATGATGATGCCTTGCGGCCACGTTATAGCCCAGGAATCCCTCGATAAGCTCAGCAAAGGCCAAAGGTTCAAATGCCCGTATTGCCCTAATGAGAGCCATCCGAGAGATGCGAGAAAAGTGGTTTTGTAGGACAGCTGCCGCGACATGATGTGGCACACGGTGACCCCTGCTCATCGCCGGTCGCTCAATGGACATGTATTGTGCGTTTATGTGTTATGCTTGTTTTCTGCGTGTAAATGTTCCACCCGCTGACGAGTCCTGCACAAGACTGTGGGGTATGTGTCCGGCGACGGACGGTTCGTGTCGCCATGAGCCACCCCGGGAGTGTCCATATCTTTCGGACCGTTTGGATGATGCGATGAATTGGAGTGCGTTGTTTTATTAAGCCTTATACGTCTTTCCTCTGTCATTTTTTTTCTATGGCGCGGTTCGCTGGATAGGCGTGTCTGGTGTCCGGTGTACAGATGGACGGGTATCTATGTTTTCCCATCATCAAAGTATTATTAAATACGGTAGTTATAAGTAGCCGATAATCACTATCCCCATTATCTCATCTCGCAGCCGCCGAGCCTTAACCCCACCAAACACTTATCTACTCTTTTCTGTCTTCGCCATGTCATCTGGGGTCGTGTTACTCAACACATACCCTTCTCACACCTTCTGTAGTAAAATTACGCTGCCTACAACTTTCAAAGACTGTAAGCTCACTACCCGGTGGCATCTGCAACCGTCGATGATCAGTCTCCCCAACTCCATCGCGGAAAAGTCAAGCCAATCACCAATGAACATGAGAATCTCCCGGCTCTCGGAATCCTGAGGTGTTGAGACCAAATTAATCGTGCGTCACTGCTATAGTCAGCTACCTGCTTCGTAAATTCTCACATGGGATATCTTACAATTCAACTGACCCAGGGAACTCGATAGGCCAAGCATTTCCTCCAGTGGGTCGGATGCAGCCGCAGGAATGCCGGCATCTTCGATTTGTTCACAGCGTTGTATATACGCGTAGACGTCATGCATCATGTCTGTAAACTGCCTATGCTCAGGAACATGTGCTGATGCTGTTCTGTAGCACTCGAGGTCATCAACTGACAGGAACGTCCCTACTAACCGTTAGAATTGAGAACCTGATAACTAGGGCCGCTACTTACCCCATACGTTATCTTTGAATGCTTTCAGGATCTTGGGCTCCAGGCGGTAGCGCGGTTTGAGTGACAACAGGGTCATCATGATCACAGGACAGATGTGGGCTTAGATGAAACAAACGGCAGATAACCACTGTGCATTGTTGATCTCCTCGTCAGTTGGCACTTCTGGTGTCTCCGTGAAGGTTTCTCGGAGCTGTTGAACACGGAGAAAGAGCCGGTCTCTCTCCCTAACTTCGGCAAATGGAGGATATAACTTGTATAAGCCATGATCAATCAACTCGGCTAGCGTAGTTGTTATGATCGCATTACTGGATAGCGTGCCCTGTGAGAGATATTCGCCGTGATAATATTCATGTCGCAATTTGCCCGTACTTCCAATGTTGAACGCTTCGAGTAACACGGTAGCGGGTAAGAACGCTCCTCGCGGTGTCTTTCGAGTATCCAGACTTGTGATATATATTTTCTCTGGTGGTGAAGCTGGTCGATCAGTCTCCTCTCGCCATATGGCGTGTTGGACAGCGAAGAGAAACGAGTTCGTCCATGACATTAGGTTATCGGGTGTACAACTCTTCCACAACAAATGATTCTTAAGCATCTCCGCGGCTTCTTCCCTGTCTCGACCTAAGATGTCACTCTGGTCTATGCCATATCTTATCGCAGACGACGTGACACATGTATCAGTGGTGGTGCCGCTGGATCGAGGCGAAGAGGTGCGGAATAAGTAATGAGGAATGCAGTCAAAGTATGCTGAAAGACCTTCTAGTTCACCAGAAGGCATAAACAAGGTCGTGTGCAAGGGCACATAATATTGTGCCATTATGGCTGCAAGGCTGAATCCGCTCTGTGCAGTGGAGCAAGGGAAGCTTCTACGAGGAAGAGAATGAGAAAAAGAGAATGATATGATGGCTTGGGAGGGACGGTATTCACCCGGAGTCATAGTAGGATTGCGGGGTAAGCCATGCACTTCACTCGTACATGTACATATTGTGTCTTATCACGTTGACCGCCACTTAGACATTGCCGATCACTGCCGTCTTCTACTCCAACGAGAACCGATTCTCAATATAGTATCATAAGCATGCCCAACATCAGCTTAGTACCATGGTTATTCTATTGCGATTGGGTTAACAAACCCGATGCATATCACGTCATTACATCTCCTTCACTCACACACAGAGCAAAACTACACAATATACGGCTGATTCGACTTTCATCAATTTTCTCAATTATCCATTCATTCAGCGCATAAACTGCCAGAAGAACATACTCATCCATTCTCATTAAAAAACGCACAGACAGTGTCATCTTCTCCCATTTCACATATCCCCCTTCTCACTGTCACATCTAGTCCATCTTGCGCGTCCACCATCTGAAACAAAAAACAAAACATACTATCAAAAAGAAAAATGCCCTCAAGATATCGCACAATTTATGCAGGGCAAAACAGACTGAAAACTGGAAAGAGAACAATCATATATATTTTCTCGTCTTGACAAGACTCGGAGATAGACTGAGATTTGAGAAGAATAACAGGCTCTTGCGAAGAAGAGTCCCATGGTCTTGTTTGTGTAAAAGAAAAAGAAAGACACAAGACCCCAGATATAATGCCCCAAAAACGCCATCGCAAGTTTTTTTCAGCCGGTGAGATCTCCCCTTTCGTATTAAGAAGCAAGAACGCCGTAATGTGTAGTCCCCGCAAGATGGGGCTGTTTGTATGCAGGACAGGGAAAGGATCCAATCTTGATGCGCAGAGAAAAAGCAGGTTTTTGGGTGCCGGACTTTGCGGGTACGGCTTGTGTAGGTAATAGACGGCTGGTGTTGTACAAATTTGGTTTGGTTTCGTGTTGCAGAGAAAGACTAGTTTGCCTGGGCGGACGTGGGCCTACTCAAAGGAACGACCACATTGCGAACTGCGTTGAACTGCCGTACGAGACCAGCCGTGTGTTGGGGGGGTGAAACGGTAGAATCAGGTGGTTGAGCTTTCGACGAAGGGGGATAGCAGGCAGACAGAATGGACAGCTTGCTCGCTCGACTTCACCAAGATCTCACCCAAGATTCTCAAGGAAAGAGAACAGATTTTCATATAGTACAGTGAAGAAAGAAGAGTTCCTGCACCAACATATCCAACTATTGCTTCGGAGATCTGTAAGATGATTAGCGTATGCTTCATAACAAAGAGAAGTCTACAACTATGACCAAAGGGTACTTACGTTGGGGAATATGCAGGCCCTGGAGATGTCGGGCTGTACCGGGGTGACGTCGGAGAGAAGGATCCTGCCGGGCTCGTTGGCGAGTAGCGGGGCGAGGTCGGGCTGTACTGGGGAGACGTTGGCGATGTCGGGCTACGACGATCGCTGGTGGCTTGGTACTGTGGGCTGGTCGGGCTGTACTGAGGTGATGTCGGACTGTACTGCGGCGATGTAGGGCTGTACGCTGGGGATGTCGCTCCTCCCATGAACGTTGGCGACGTCGGACTGTAGTTGGGTGATGTAGGAGAGTATTGAGGCGACGTGGGCGAGTAACCAGCCGGAGACGTGGGCGAGTACGACGGTGATGTAGGCGAACCGTATCGCGGCGAAGTTGGAGAGTAGTGTGGGGACGTAGGCGACGCCATGTAACCCGGCGACGTTGCAGCGAAGCGCGGGCTGGCGGTTCCTGGTGAAGTAGGCGAGTAACCAGGCGAAGTGGGAGAGAAGCCTGGCGAGACAGGGCTGGTAAATCCTGGAGACATGCCGGTAAAGCCTGAGCCACCTGGGCTTCGCCCTCCATCATAGGGGCTGAAGCCACCGCTACCATAACTACCTCCATACGCAGTAAAGCCACCTTGATCGTCACCGCCACCTGCAGCAGCCATAGGCGAGAAGGACACTTGGTCGTATCCCCCGCCCATACCCATTCCTCCTTCATACGTAGGAGAGCCTAAGTCGTAAGGCGTGGCCGCACCGTCACTCAGATAGGTTCCTGCACCAGCGGCACCTCCCATCATCTTGGAGTTATCCTCGACCATGGTGAGAAGCATGCCATTGTCCATGACAACATCGAATTCTCCAGTACCCATGGGCGCGAGTTGACCCAGCATGATGTTCTCAGACACACCGCGGCAGTCATCGAGTTCACCAAAGCCAGCAGCTTCGAGAAGAATCTCGACAGTCTCTTCGAACGAACAACGCATGAGTGCTCCAGTGTCGTTACGGTTGATGCCGTGACGAGTGATGGCCATGAGGACACCACGCTGGCACATAATGTCGACGAGCAATGCCATGTGACGATGGTTGACATATGAACCGTCAAAGGACAAGACCATGCCCAATTCCTTAAGAAGACCAGCTCGAGCTGCCTCAATACCAAGCACAGCAAGGATTTCGATGAACGAGTTAGAGTACGTGGTGGTAGCATCCACACCTGGAATTGACAGTACTTCGGCCAAGGCGGTACCGGTGGTGTCGAGCACCCACTCTTTGCACTCAGGGCTGCTCTTGGAGTGCAAAAGCGACCCGTCATCCCTCTTCTTGGTGACGCAGTGTTCACGGATAAAGGCACGCTCAACACCGGGTACACCACGTAGAGTGACATCGTCGAGAAGATGCTGCTCAAGTTTGCGCATCCATCGTTCGTCTCGCTCGTCCTCATCCTCGTCGTCTTTCGTGAGGTTTTGATCCCAAATGAAACGCACGCGCATAACCTGCTCATCTGCGTTCTCATCACTAAAGATAACAGCGAGGTTGGGCTTGAACTCCTCCTTGATCTTTCCAGCAACTTCGCCGATAGTGATACTCTTGTCCAGCAACTTCTTGCGGTCGAGGATGATACGAAGCAGCCATTTAGACTGCGATTCGATGACTTCGTCCTCTTCGGGTAGAATGAAGTAGGACTCAACCATGTCTTGGTCATCTTCCACTCTAGTTGACTGAATATCAGGATCGTAGTAAAGCTCGACAGCCTGTGTCAACGAGCGCAGAGTTGTAAGCTCAATCGTACTGCGCAACTTCTTGGCATCTCCTTGGTCGGCCTTCTTGTTGATTTGACGGACAAGCATAGATGGTGTCTTGATGTTGGCGGCGACGTTGAGAATTTCCTTGAGACGCGGTACACCGAGAGTGACGTTCTTGGAAGACACACCAGCAAAATGGAAAGTGTTGAGTGTCATTTGCGTGGCAGGCTCACCGATCGACTGTGCAGCAAGGACACCGACCATCTCACCAGGCGCAACAGCGGCCTTGAGGAAACGGTCTTCGAGCTCTCCCAGGATGTATTTCAGGGCCTCCTTGTTTAGGCGGTGCTGAACAGCAAGCTTCTTGAAAGCGAGACGAGCTCGAAGATGGGCTTTGAAGAGTTGAGTCGCGCTGTTTTGCGCTTCTATCGACAGTTCATCGGTACCACGAATGACAATCAACCGGTCGAGTGTTTCGCGGACCTGCTGAATCGCCTCAATAGGAGTGAGGTTGCTGACAGCCTTTTCCGGGTTAATGCCGAATCTAGCCTGAGCAGATCGGATCATCCGCTGGATGTTGAGAGGCAATTGGAAGCTATCAAGCTCTTCCTCGTTCAATGTGTCGCGAAGAACAGCACGATCGTTCTTAATCTGCTCAAACTCTTCGTCGAGAGCTCGCTGTACGTCCACGTCACCTTGGAACATGGGAGAGCCCTCAAGCTTCCAGACAGGAATCTCGGGCTGATCAGTAGTTAACACATCCAGCTTGTACGCAGCCTCGAAGTCAGCATCGGAGCACATGATAGTATCCATGGACTGTTTTTCGATATAGGCACCGTCAAGACCATCTTCACCGTAGATGAACTCAACAATGTCTCCCATGGAGTTACGAACAGTGCCATCGTACTTGACCATAACGTCTTCGAGGGCCTTGACCAAACGACGTTGGATATATCCAGTCTCGGCTGTCTTGACAGCGGTATCGATCAAACCCTCACGACCAGCCATAGCGTGGAAAAAGAATTCGGAGGGTGTGAGACCACGGAGATAGGAGTTCTCGACGAAACCACGAGATTCGGGCGAATAGTCGTCTTTGGCGAAATGTGGCAATGTCCTGTACTTGAAGCCGTATGGAATACGCTGCCCTTCCACAGCCTGTTGACCGACAAGGGCCACCATCTGGGAGATATTAACAGTGGAACCCTTGGAACCAGAAACGACAGTCTGGACAACGTTGTTGAAGTCCTTCAAACTTGTCTGAGCCGCAGTACCTCCACCTTCACGAGCTTCGTTGAGGAACTTCTGGACCTTGGACTCAAATGTACCACGAATTGTCATACCGGGCATAGGCTCGAGCTCATCCAAAGTTGCTTGCTCGATGATCTGTTCCACCTTTTCTCTGGACTTCCGGACTTCATCGGCAATCTTCTCTGAAGTCGCAGGATCCGGAATGGTATCACCCACACCGAAACTGAAGCCGTGGTGGAGCAGCCACCAGTTGCAAATACGCTGGCAAGCGTTGAAGAATTTGACAGCCGCGTCAGGGCCAAGTTCGTTGAAGATGATGTGAATAACACCACCTGCCGAAGCACCAACAATCTTCTTAGTGACTTGCCCATAGATCAGCTGACCACTCTTGATCATTAGACTCTTGTCCCGGATATCATTCTGCGGCGAAGGTGAAGAATCATCCTCCTTCTTCTCAATGTTGACCTCTTTGGGGAAAGCCATGCTCACGAGCTGCTTTCCGGTCCAGAGAGGCCGAGGCTTGAGAATGGCAGGCTCTGGAACAATGCCATCCCAATCAGGCACCCACATGAGAATGGGCATGACTTGTTCGATACCGATGAAGTTGTCACGACGGCTCATCTTGTAGACACCGAGAAGCGTGTCCTGCACGATACCCATCAAGGGCTGATTCTTCTGGGGTGATACAATTTGCTTCGGGACCATGCACAAGTTCTGGACCTCAGCACGGGTCTCGTCGCTCTGAGGAACGTGGAGGTTCATCTCGTCACCATCGAAATCGGCGTTGTACGGAGATGTGACCGAGAGATTGAGACGGAAGGTGGAGTAGGGCATGACCTTGACGCGATGACCCATCATAGACTCCTTGTGAAGGGAGGGCTGACGGTTGAAGATAATGACATCGTCGTCGTTGATGTGGCGCTCAACTTTCCAGCCATATTGCAGCCGCAGATCGTCCAGGTTCTTGTTGTGCTTGAGGTCGAGACGGGCGCCGTCGGCCTTGATGACGTAGTTGGCACCAGGATGCTGATTTGGACCGTTGCGTACCAAGTTTGTGAGTTTGCTGATGTTGAACTTTGTGACGACTTCGGGGTATGTGAGAGTTCGGGCAATGGATCGGGGAACACCGACTTGGTCCAGTGACAGGTTAGGGTCACCAGTGATGACAGTACGTGCGGAGAAGTCGACACGCTTGCCCATCAAGTTACCACGGAGACGGCCCTCCTTGCCCTTTAATCGACCACGGATGGTCTTTAGAGGACGACCAGACTTTTGCATGGCCTGTGGGACACCGTTGGCATCGTTATCCATGTATGTCGCAACATGGTACTGGACAAGAGCTTCGAACTCGGCAGTGACGTGCTGAGGTGAACCCTCTTGCTGGCATTCGGCGACGCGACCGTTTGCGCGGATGATGTCACCCAGCTTATACGTCAAATCGTCCTCTCCACGCATACCCTGACCAGTACCGTCGACGGAGATACTAGGACGCACTGGCGGCGGAGGTACGGGCAAGACATCGAGGATCATCCACTCGGGGCGCGCATAGTCAGCGTTCAGGCCAAGCAGTGCTAGCGTGTTTTCCGTCATAAGCTTGAAGATGGTCTGAGCTTGCTTGGGGGTGATGACTTCTTTGCGGTCGCCTGAGCCATCATCATCTTCCTTCTTCTTCTGCTTCCAGGTGGCGGTGAGCTTGAGACCATCTTTGCGAATGGTGTCAGGCTGTGCACTGCCGCAACCACCGTGAGGTATCTTGGGGATCTTGTCCTTGCCACTGTCGGGGCCGTCAGCGTCGCACGTGCTCTTTGTCCGCGACATGCGCCAAATTTTGTCGAAACGCTTCTTTGCGTCCTTTGTCTTGGTAGCGGCAATCCAATCGGGGTGGTTCTGATGTTGCAGTCAGTATGTGAAATCACGCGTCTGAAAATGTCTGTCTTCACGCAGGAAGACTTACAAAGTCAGCCTTGATCAGGCCACAGGTGTGGCACACAGTCTCGAGGAGCTTCTTGATCTTGACGACGAATCCAACGTGGAAGACGGGCGTGTGTAGCTCGATGTGGCCAAAGTGGCCGGGGCAGACCTGAATGTCTTCTTTGCACGTCGAGCAGTGGTACATGCGGTCGATGGTACCGAGCTTAGGGTCGTTAAGGCCCTGCTCACGCGGCTTCTGTTTCTGCTCGTCCATGGTCTCAGGGTAGATGATATGGACAACGCTCATGGCCTTGATCTCCTCGGGCGAGAGCAGACCGAACTGGATCTCTTTGATGGTCCGGAGCGGACATTTCGAGACTGCTGGCACGCCGGGAGCCATGTTGGCGGTGTTGAAGGAGTGTGGCGAGTGAGGGAGTCGCTGGACGCCGTTCTATCGGGCGTCGGTCGCGGTGGCCACGGGGGGCGCTTCCTCGGTGTATTAGGTAGTAAGTAAGGCTGCCGTCGTAGCAATGTCGCCTGCTGTGGTCGCGGGCCGAGAGTAATGGGTGCGCGCTGCGCGCTGGAAGGATTTCGAGTTGGATAAGGGCGCCTGCAGAAAAAGGGCTGCACGGGGGGCCGGGGGCTCGCTGGCCGTGTCGCGCCTCGACGCGAGAGGCGAGCGCGCGTATTAAAAGCGCCCTATTGAGCACTATGGGGTTCGACGGAGAGAAAGACGCGCTCTGGGAATGCAGAACGGCCGGCGGTGATGGCGGGGTGGTGGGTGGTGAGGGAGACGTGCTGGCGAGACCGTCTTCACCTACTCAAAGGCAGAAGGGCTCAAAGGGTCTTGGCACCAGCTTTGGCCGCTAGTGCGTATGCGGACGGCGGAGCCTCATTCCAGTCCAAGCCCGCGGATTGCCCGACATGGGCTTTTGCGATTCCCTTCACTCTGCGCGCATGGACTGTATAAGGCGCGTCGGCGAAGATGCTGCACATTGAGCACTCTTCTCTGCACACCCCGCCGCCTGCAGTGCGCCATCATGAATTTATCCTTGGTTGACCCCTTTGTCCTTGCCCAGGACTGCCCCGATGTCATCACCGGTCGTCTACGTGAGTTTTGATATTGATATAGATGCACCATGTCACGCTTCTGCAGTACAGTGGCTCACAACGCACAGGCAGCGGCCATTCAACGTCAATCCGTTTCAGCCACCGCGGCGACCTGCTTGCATCCGGACGTGTACGCAAATATGGCCCCTGGACATGTGACGTCTGCTAATGGCACCGCAGCACGACGGCATAGTAGTCATATTTGACATTGAGACCAACGGCGTCGCGCGCAAGCTCCGAGGCCACACGCGCCAAGTTCAGTCGCTCAGCTGGTCGACCAACGACCGCTACCTCCTCAGCGCAGGCCAGGACTGGAAATGTGTATTGTGGGATCTGAAGGATGGCTCACGGGTGCGCACTGTCCGCTTCGAGGCAGCCATCTTCATAGCGGAGCTGCACCCCAAGAACCAGTAGGCGCACATATCGCACGTCCCAATGCACTGTCTAACTTGTAGCTAGCATGTGCTTTGTGGCCGCCCTCTTCGAAGACCAACCTGTCATTGTTGACATGACCGACCAAGTCCCCATCAAACACTCCCTGTCATCCGCGCCCCACCGAACCGACATTGAACGCGAGAATGCCTCTGAGAAGCAGACGGCTCAGGATGCGAAGCAAACGACGACTATGACTCTCTTTACTCCGACTGGCCAACACATCATCGCTGGTACAAACAAGGGGTGGCTGAACATTATAGATACAGAGACACACCAAGTACGCTACTCCTTCAGGGTTACCACAAACATCATTGTATACATCCGCTTGACGCCCTCAGGCAGAGACGTCGTGCTCAACTCTAGCGACCGTATTGTCAGGACACTCCACCTCCCCGACCTCAGTGACCCCAAGTTGGACTTTGACACTCTCCAACTGGAAGTCGAACACAAGTTCCAGGATCTGGTCCAAAGGCTCTCATGGAACCATGTCTCGTTCAGCCCTACCGGCGAATACGTCACTGCTTCTACCTGGATGAACCACCACATCTACGTCTGGGAGCGTGGACAGGGAAGTCTGGTTAAGATCCTCGAAGGCACCAAGGAGGAGTTGTCTGTAGTTGAGGTACGTTCGTCGGATACTCACATCACACATGTGCTAATGTTTACAGTGGCACCCCTTCCGTCCCTTCGTCGCCGCTGTCGGAGTAGACTCTGGCCGCATCTGGCTCTGGTCCATCCTGCAGCCCCAGCGTTGGTCTGCCCTCGCCCCCGACTTTGTCGAAGTAGAAGAAAACGTCGAGTACATTGAGCGCGAAGACGAGTTCGACATCCAGCCTCTCGAGGAGCTCCACAAGCGGCGTCTAGACCAAGAAGATGAAGAAGTTGACGTGCTCACAGTGGACCCTGTCAAGGCTTCGGGCACAGAACTTGGATCAGCAGTAGGAGAGGCAGAGTTCAGGATGCCCGTATTATTGGATATCGAGGCTAGTGATAGCGAAGATGAAGTGGTAGCTGTGGGCGCTGGTCAGTTCCGACGACGTACTCCTGGTGCCGCAAGAGAGTGGATGAATGACGATGAGGTGGCAGTCAGCGGCGATGAGGCACGCAGAGCTAACGGTCATGCAGTTCAAAACGGTACAAAGAGGCGGCGGTGATGAATGAAGAATACACACATGGTAGTGTGGTATTACAGAAGGAGGGATGGGTAATTCATAGGTACGCAAAAGCAATGCATCACATCACATGACCGAGGTTTCACTTTAGCCTGTTATACTTCAGTGTTCGACCACAGCTCACACAACTTAAAACAGTAGCCTGTTGGTATATATTACATTTTTGGTATAGTATCCTCAGCGACTATCTACGTTGAGGTCCTCCTCGCTCACCCATGTGCCCATCAAAGTGAGCTATCAAACACGCCTTGGAGCCCACAACGCCCTCAGAATCTTCAACTCTTCCATAATCTCGTCAAGCTCCTCCGGTCCTTGGACCACGACCATTCTCTCGTAGATGGATGCCAGGCGGGAGCGGAACTCGTCATCCTCATCCGATTCTGCTTCAGATGCAGCATCGTTCAGGCCTAGCCCAGCCATGTTGGCGTTGATGCTGTCAACATTCGTACTAGGACCTGTGAAGCCCATGGGAGGTGGTGCCGGCATGGCGGGGGGATTGGACACAGGCAGAGAGGCCAACATGGTGGCGGAGGCGCACCGCATTGCCGTAGAGGAGGTGGTGGCGCGTGGGAGGGAGGGAAGAGGGCGCGAGGGCAGGCATGGGCTCGATGGCCAGAGCGAGAGGAGACCGGAGGGGGAGCGGTGGATGGGCGGCAGTTGCGGGACCGGGGGCATCGGGCTCGCGGAGATGGTGGGAAGAAAGTTCGCCGAGGCAGATCGTGGTGCCAGCGGCTGCGGCCGGTCTGGGGCTACAGCGTAATATTAGCTTTTGTTTCTTTCATGTCCAGTTCGGACCTGGAGGAGGACATGGAAAGAACTTACTATCCGGTGGATACCTGCTCCGCGTCGACGACGACGACGCCATCGTCGCCATCGACGCGGAGCGCAACGCCGCCCGACTCCTCTTCTGATTCAGCTCTCTCAGAGCCGGCGGGAGCCTGTCGACCCGGGGCAGCGCCGGGTTCAGACGACCCGGACGACTGCCCCCGAGTGGGTCGACAGCCCGCTCGGCTCGAGAGGCCTCGTCATTGAGGACGGGATGTGGCATCCTATACACAAACGGTCAGTCTCCGTAACAATGAGTATCCAGATTTTCAGTCCAGATAGGTTGGCAGTGTGGTGGGAGGAGGTGGTTGTAAGGGCAGCGTTGTGATAGTGGCAGTGCTTTGGATGCACATACTCAGGCCTGGATACCTCTGTCTCGGTCAGTAGGTGCCGGACGGCTAAGTTAGTCAACCGGCAAGGGATGTAGCCCTATGGTTTGTTAGCTGAAGTGAACTGAATGTTGAATGGAAAGACTAATTAGTTACCTTATCGCAGCCGAGTTCGCGGACATGCTTCCTTGCCACATGATAGTTCTCAGGGCTGGTATTTATCCAGAAGGCAAAGAGAGAGAGGTGAACGTCAGCAATGGTCTGTTCGTAGAGCTCTTTTGTGAGACGTTCGAGATCGTTCGACGAGAGAGTGACATGTAGGGATGCTGGGCGCGAGTGCTGGTAGAGATTGTCGCTAACTTCCTCGGGATTGGTCTCCTCTGAGGTCTCCTTTGCCATATGGGCTTCGAGAGATCTGAGGGCAGCTGCGACATCAAAGTCTGCTCCGTACATGCTGGCACCATCGATGGTGGTGGTGGGCTTGACCTTGAGCCTGGTAGAACGACCGAAAGTGATAGAATCATCGGGTATGGATACTTGGGGGCACTGGACTTGATCTTGACCTTGCCTTCCGACTGTGGCTTGGTGACGACGTTCGAAGAGACCTTGGTGGTTATGTCTATCGTCATCTTGATAACGAAGTGCATCTTGGAAGGTGACTGCGACTTTGTCAGTTTGGGTGTTTGCGTCAGTGAATGCACTATACTTACTTTGCTCTCCGATTTCGCCCTCGCCTATGCTTTCGTGCGATGATTCAGTCTCATCCTCGAAGATGACTGGCTCGTGATAGCGCTCAGTCGTTGCGCTTGTGTCGTCATCCTCGTGGTCAGCGCCCGCAATGGAGGCCAGCTGGGTACTGCTGCCTGCCACACTGGTGCGGCTGCGTCCGAAGAGACTTCCAAGGTTTCGGAGACTACTCGAGCTCTTCAAGGAGTGCTGTCTGATAGAACCTTCGCCGTCACTCGAGCCTTCACGCATATTAGGTTGACCGTAGATCGAAGGCACTCCAGTCGTCAGATACACCCTCGCAACTATGCTGGCCTGAAGCTGGGTGTGAGGGAAGTCCATAGCTGTTGCAATGCTGTACTTGTGATGCTACTGTGGTGATGTGCGGAGCGTTGCTAAGTAGAGTTTTCAGTGCGAGGTGCCGTTGCGTAGAGTAGAAGACGAAAATTCAGAGGTGCAATTGTAGACAGCAAGGCGCTAGCGCGTGGAGCAAACGCGTGTTGACGCATAAGTGAGAGTGAGTGCAATTGCAAGTAGCCATCGCGTTCGCGAGCAACAAGTGGGAGTGAAGGTGAATGCGAGTCAGGAGCTGCTATAGATTGGATTCCATCTAACGTACAAAACAGCGTATGAATGACATACGAGGAGTCAACATGAGTATCAAGAGAGAATAATAATAAGACTAAGAGGAGCAGAAGATAATTGTAAAATGAGCAATGTGCAACGGGCACTCAGTATTTGCCCGTTCATGAAAGTGGGGCAGACTGGCTCCTCGCCCATGGATTGGCGTTGATTGCAGCAAACGATACCACCTGACATCTTTGTGCATCTTTGGATACACCTGAAGAACTATCTTCAGAATTGCTCAGACCAAAATTGTTGTTGTTGACAAAAACTTGGTATTGTCCTGTACGTCTGAGAGGGCAGAGCCACCACGGCGCGTCGTACAAGGCGTTGCCAGTTACACCTTAGGTAGAGGGCCAGCTCAGGAAAGCAGTGCTGGGACCGACTACACCGAGTAGGTTGTTTCCGGTGTGATAGAAGCTGGTGGAAATCGAGTTTGGTGGAAGCCATCCCACAGGAACGTAGCGCAACGCACCCATAGCTGTGTCGATGTAAAACTCCAGGGGCTGCTCGCTGACCTGTATATGTCTGTCAGCTGGCTTTCAATGCTGGCCATGGAACGATTGGCAAGGCTTACAGTATACAGCTTGGTGTCATCGTCTACGAACATGATGGGCAGCTTAGGGTCCCACCATTGGTTGTAAGGAGTGGCAATTGCAATGCCATTCTCCAGTCGAATCGCATAGTTGACAAACGTGCAATCAGCCGCATCACCATCTCCAAAGTTGTTGTCACTGCCTGTAGTGGCATCGGGACTGCACCCTGCGGGAATATCGACCCGGAGACTGAAGAACTCGGGATGATTAGTCTTCGGGTGCCAAAGAGTGGTAGAAGGAGAAGGAGGAGAAGCTCGAGTCTGGCGTGGGCTCAATACCCAGGCATCGGCGAGGCCAAGCGTAGCAAATAGCCAAAGATCAGATCTCATGTTGAAGTAAAGGTATAAAGGAGTGTGATTGAGATGGTAAAGCAAGCGAATGAAATCAGCTCATGATACAAGATGAGAGGAAGACCAGGATGAGTCTCATTTATGATATGACGAGGCATGTTGATTTGTTTACAGTGCTTGATCGAGAATGACAAAGGAATGAGGTGTACAACATGATGGTAGGCAAGTTATAGGAATACAACACCTCCCAACTTGCCGCCCATGGACTCACTGTGTCTATGTGACCAGAGTGAGCATGAGCGGTGTGATCTCGTTTACCTGGCAGACTCCCTCTTACCTATACACATGTTTGGAGTGGTCCAACTTGTAGTTGTCAAGATTTCCAGATCATACAAACAACTGTCAGAGGGTGTGGTACCACACACATGGAATGCGGAGGGTCAATATTCCGATTGCCATTGACTGCATTCCAGGTGAAATCAGGTGCATGATACCACACTGTTCCTCAGGCAACAAAAGGGCAAGTCAAGCGGAAGGATGGGCACTACATCCTTTGGAAAAGTATTGTTGCGATATCACGGCACTATCCGGACATGTGTCAAGGATGTGTTGGTGATGGAACGTTGACGCGTCAGAGATTTAGCAGGTGGAGCCTTCCCTTCTGTCAGCTACGACGGCCCCGCCATATTCCGCATCCGCCGTCTCTGGCTCCCGCAAAACAAGGCACTGAGCTCGGGGCATACCTGTGTCGGACAAGCTTCTCCTGCATGTCGGTTTTTCTTGGGCTTCGTCTCGGCGATCTTGATCCTCGAGTCGTCCCGACGTGCTTGGCGAAAGCGTGCAATCATAGGCTTTCCCTATCAACTACCCGACCGCGCAAGCACAACAGCTCATCGCTTACCATGACCCCTCACGCGGGTGCATCTGGCTAATCTAACCCGTGTCCCAAACACGCTTACGGCTGCTACAACTGGCATGGCATTTGCATGTCTGCACCAGTAGCTGCATGGATCAGCTTGCACGGCGCTTATAAACGTTGCACAACACCTCATCCACAACGGTTTTCTGCCGCGAACAAGACCAGCCATACCCACTTTTCAACAACACTGATATTGCGGCGTAGACGCCCCTCATGACTCGATTTGCACTATTGAGGCCTAGGTCGCAAAGACGGACAACTTGTCTACTGTTTCTTCCGACCACTCAGGCCTGCGGAGCCAACTTTTGATCAGCGAACTCTTGACCCTTGCTCAGCCTGAGCGTCTCGGGAACGAGCACCACAGGAACCAGAGGAGCTGAATGGCGGCGAACCAAAATACGAGAACGCTCCTTCTTCTGGCCGACCATTTGTTCGGAACGATCTGACCACATCCCAGCGAGCATGCCTAGCTGAGAGACCCGCAGGCTGAACTCGTGGCCTGCAAACGTGATTCGCTACACAATGCACCAGGAGCCGCTATGCTTCCACCCCAAATGACCGCAGCAGATCCCAGCCGTTCTAATCCTCACCCTATGCTGGCTTAGACCCCCAGCTTCCCAAAGTACGAGCGATGCGATTCCGCAGGCGCTGCTCTATATGAATTTGCGGCGTAGTCGATGCATCCTGTTCCCCGCCCACCAATCAAGCACTCACATTAGCGCTCCTCTGTGTTGGATTGCCAATCATTCCCTCACTTAGCCGCATATCCAACGTCCCTCATCCTCTGGGAATTTGCCATGCCAGGTAGAGACGGTGGGGTCAGGACAGCGGCTCTCGAGTCTTTTCAACGCGTTTACTCGAACGGCGTAGCTCCACGTTGCCACTACTACAGCTTGAATGCGCTGACAGGTCGCTTGCTTCTGTAATCAGTGTAGTACGCATCTATGCGGCGCGGATGACGCGTGTGTGGTGCCCTCATATACCAAACTGTAGCCTGCAGGCCTCATGTGGCACCGCTGACAGCCCTTTGTTATCGCTCCGTTTCGTTGAGGGGCGCAGTATTTTGCTCTGATCTACCCATTCTGACCGGAAACCATTGCTGTGCCGCAATATCACTCTTTCCGTACTCGCATGTGTAGACGGGTGCTGCCTTCTTTTACATCCTTCGCCGCTGCCATTCCCGTGTTTCTTTTCCTACCGCGTGTTTCAACAGACCCATACCATTACGCCCACTCTTGCTTGTCACAACTTGGCGTTGTAACACCTTGATAGATATGGCTACACTCTCTGTGCCGTCACCCGGTCTAGGCTCGGCTTCATTGGGCGGCAGCATTCACAGACCACTCTCCACTCACGGCCTGCCAAAGCAGCCTCGTACCATGTCATCCGAACGACCGCATCGTTTCTCAGCAAAAAGTTACCCTCCTCCCGCCCTCGTCCACACTCCCATGACACCAAGGTCGTTGGGGCCAATGTCGCCGCCACCAATGTCCGCAAAGTCGTTTGGCACCTTCATCGACTCTGAGCCGTCCACACCAGCCTACTCACCACGAATGGACCATGGATGGGATGACTCTTCGGTGGTCTTGGTCAGACCCATGTCTTCGTCTTCTGAACCTTCCAGTCCTACAGAGCCTGTATGGCGTATGCTGCAACCACTTCCAGCAAAGGCTCCAACCAAGCCCAAGCCTAGCTCCACCATTGTTCAGCCCAAACAACCCGCAATCACAGCTAGAGAGATTTCGTCAAACACATCGATTGCATCACAGCCAAGGCAGATCAGTCACATTAGTCATCCAAATCAGTTCAAGCTGGCAGACCTATCTCAACAAGACTATGTCTCGGACCACCATGACAGCGCAAAAGAAGAAGAGAAGAAGCAAGAAGATCAAAGTTCCGGTACACCTACAACAGCGACCTTTGGGGGCAAGCTAGCATCCAAGATGAAACTGATGCTCCGGCGCAAGAACACAAATGCCAAGAAGAAGGAGAAGAAGAAGAGGGTATACGAAGAGGTTGACAAGATTGAGGCTGTACATTGGACTGAGATGTAATATAATCTTTCGCGTCACAATACGGCGAGTCTCTCGCAACGTCGAAGAACGTCGCCGCTGCACACACAATGGAGCAAGCAACCGGCTTGTACAGAGAACATTGGAAGTGAAAGCTTAATACACGGGAGACCGAGGCCAGAAGAAGGAGGATCTCCTATCACAGTAAGAGGTGCCCATCATTTTCGGGAGAGATAATAGTGCTGCTGGATCATCATGTGTCTTTTCGGCGTCCATGGCGGGTACCACTGTTTGTTTCCTTTGCTTGGGAGGCGTTTGAACAACTTGTAACAAGAATTTAACAAGCAAGTAATGACGATACCCCTTACAACATTCTATCATTAGCTGCAATACTATTCTACTCGTTATGCTTGTAACGCTGTGTCTCTCGTCAAAAGCGCGCAACTTGTCGCACAAAGTAGCATTTGTTCGATGACATGTCGTATTCTGTGACTCTATACATAGCTTTCGGGAGGCTTGCATCAGAGAAACGGTTCTTCTGCACGACATGCTAAAAGTGTCTGAGGCCTTCCACCAGGCGCTACCCGCTTGCTCCACACCCGTGGAAAAAAGAGGGCGATCAAACTAGCGCAACGCACAGACCCTCCACCTTCCTAACATCGACAACACGCAACAACCAAGAACAACACGTTCCTCCTCGTTCACTCATAAAAGTCCCGGAACGGGATTTCAACGGCCAAAAATGTTACCAAGGCGGGGGGGAAGCGCCGTGCGGCTCAAGTCTGCAGCGCAAACACGGCTAACGTCCCGATTACGCACACCTCTGGCGCCTACAACCTGGTCTTTTCAGCCGCATGTAGAGCAGTCGGGGCGCGTAAGGACAGATGCTACATCACGTGCCTTTTCACAAACACGACTTCTGGGGCGGCTCCAGCATGGCAGGACGCAAGAAAGAGCTATACCGTTGCAGAGGGGGCCGAAGAGTCATCAACAACCCAGGATAGACCCAACAACCAGGCTTCGCCAATCTGCGTTTCCAAAGAAAACGTTTGTTTTCCTTGGTACACTAGCTGCCATTGCATACTTCTTCGTCGAATTCAAAGACTGGACAAATGCCGTCTACGCAGCCTACAGCCCGCAAGACGATGGAGGAAGGCTGGCATCAGCCCTCCATTTCTACAGCAACACGGATGAAATTCAACACCACCTGGACTACCACATCCCAGACCCCGCCGCGCCGTTCAAAAACCCCGAGGCTGCAAAGTTTATATTCGACGACCAATTCGAAAGACTCTGCTCGGGCTGGATGATGACAGAAAAGGATGCAAAAAGGGGGTATAAAGGCATGCCAGGCGTGCAAATGCCGATAACCCACGGGTGCCGCATCCGCAGCAACCAACCGTGTGAGGACTTCTTCTCCATGGGCACGAGTCCCGGTCCTGGGGGCGAGAAATTGTGGAATTACTGGACTATATTCGATGGCCACGCGGGAAAACTCACGGCGTTGACATTAACTTGGCTGTTGATTCCACGCGTTAGTTCTGCACTCTCAGCCTTAGCATCCACAGCATCCAGCCCAGAGATTGAATCCGCGCTGAAAAACGCCTTTCTCGCTGTCGACAAGAGTATCATGGACCGCGCCAAAACAGCCGCAAACTGGTTCCCTGCCGCAAACGCCGTTGCCTTCGCCGCCCTCACGCCAGCCTTCTCAGGCTCCTGTGCCTTACTCGCCGCCTTCGATCCGCAAACCTCCACCCTCCGCGTAGCCTGCACCGGCGACTCGCGCGCCGTGCTCGGCCGTTGGGACCCAGAGTCTGCCACCTACACAGCCATGCCCCTCTCCGTCGACCAAACCGGCTTCAACGAAGCCGAAGTCCAGCGTCTGAACGCCGCCCACCCAGATGAACCAAACATGCTCGACCCAAACTCCGGCCGTCTCCTCGGCATAGCCGTAACCCGCGCCTTCGGTGACCACCGCTGGAAATGGGATAACGAGAGTGTGAAGACCGCTCAGCACAAGTTCTGGGGTCCCGCACCGAGACCGGGTAGTAAGACGCCGCCGTACATGACTGCGGAGCCTGAAGTTACCGAGACGAAAATCGTACGTGCGGGTGGGACCGTCACTGCTGGCAAGGCGGAGGAGGATAAGAAAAGCGATTTCCTCATCCTAGCCTCCGACGGCCTCTGGGACCGCATCTCCTCCGACCACGCCGTGGAATGTGTATCCCGCTACATCTCCGCGCGCGCCCGGGGCTCAGGTTCCGTGCGCGCAGACCCGGTTCTGGCGGCCTCACCGCCGGCTTCTTATGCCATGGCCACAACACTAGACGACGGCGTCACGTGCGATCCGGATAACGAGAAGGAAGTCGATTGGAAAGCAACGCCCGAGTTCTTCGCTATCGAGGATGAGAATGCGGCGGTTTGTCTGGCGAGGAATGCGTTGGGTGGGACTAGGAGGGGACTGTTGATGGGATTGATGGCTATACCGAGGCCATGGACTAGGAGTGCGATGGATGATACGACTGTGCTTGTTGTGTTCTTTGATGAGCTTGGGATGGATGGGCAGGCGAAGAAGGGCGGTGTTGTGGCTGGGGAGGTGGAGGGGAAGAAGAAGAAGTGGTGGTGGCCTTTGTGAAGTGGATGAGTGTAGCATCCAAGGACGACATTGGGGAGATTTCATCCAGGGGGGTATTTGTGGCACAAACCCCAATTAGCACACGGAAGCAAAACAACTGATAAAGAGTATCATTTCCCATCCCAGCTCACACATAAGGGAGCTTCAGTGGACGACACATGAAAATATACCAAACCAACCTCCTCCATCCTCCAACCTTACAGATACTGATAACAGAGTAGTGATGATGAACCAATACAACCCTCACTCAACGCCCCGTCCTAGCCCTATGCAAATGCCACGAAACCGCACAAATAAGGACAAGGGAAATGATCAAGCCCATGACCGACGCGATAATAACCTCGACGCCTTCTCTGTGAGTTCGCGGTGGACAGTCAGCAGTAGGTGAATCCTACTCCACATCACCAGACCAAGTGTTTCTGCGCCGAGCAGGTAAAGTGGGCAAAGAAAGTATCAAGACCTTACATCCGGCGTTCTTCTGCTTAGGAGGAGACCACAAGAGCACAGCGAACTTTGTTTGGTACATTCGAAGCATGTTTCCCACACTCGTCAGATATAGCGATGTGTCTATGCGGTCCCTTGATACTGGATTATACTATTGTAAGTAGTCACTTCGGACGTTGATGAAGGCGCCGGGGCCGCCATCGTCAGCGAGCTCAGCTACCAGGGCTTCGGTTTGTTGGATTAGGCGCTCGAGCGCGGCTGAGGAGGATTTGCCTAGAGAGACTGTTTTGGGTTTGTTAGCGGGTGATCCAAGACTGAACTGTAGGATATGCAAAACGTACCTAATATCGCGCTATTAAGCTCCTCCGCCACCGGTGCGCGACCAGAGACTTCTAATAATGGCGCCAACATGCTTTCTCGTGCATCAGGGTAGGCGATGAGTGCGAAAGTATCCTCGAGAGCCTTCTTGACTTCCCGTCTGGGGTCGTTTGCGAATTCGGTTCTGAGTTCCATGCCATATGTAATCGTGTCATTCGTTGCTCGTGCGATCTTGGTCTCTTTGTCTTCCATGTCATCATCGTCGTCTAGTTCATCGTCTTGGTCCTTGTTGTCCCAGCTCGGTGGTGCGTTGTGAACGCCCAGCTGCTCATCTAGCTCCATCTCGAAATCATATTCCTCCGTCGCTGTAGAGTTCCGCTTATTTGTTGCAGAAGGAGCCGATCGCTTGGAGGCCCTGCACTGCGCTGTCATTTCACTAGATCGTCTGATCATCTCGATGAACTTTCGGCAGCGAAGTTTGAAATATATGTTCTCGTTGTCCCGAAGCACAGAGGGATAATATGCGCTTGTGTGCTTCAGTGCCTTGTCAATATCGCCATCGAGAATCGCTGTACGTATTTCTGTATCTTGTTAGCAGAGTGAAGTCGTAGGAGAGACAACAAAACACACTTTGCCGGTTCAGTGCGTCCAAGTCCTCCACTGCTGTCCGGTAAGGGATAGTCTCATCTTCGCCATTCGCAAGCGTTCTCGCCTCCTCAACAATCTCATCCGAGAAAGCCCGCGCAGTCTCCACGTAGCCATCGTGAGCCAGATATTGCCCCACTAGTTGATGTATCAACGCGTCCTCGCTGCCGCCTGCATAAGACTCAAACTTTGTCCGAGCGATCTCGGCCTGTATAGCTGCCTTCTCGTCGTGCACCATTTTGTCGATATCGAAGTTAAAGGGTTCTTGACCAAAGTTTACTCGTACTGTTTCACCTGGCTTCTTCATGCCTACTGTGGGGTAATAAGGCATGTTCGGCTTCAGATCCCGGAAAGCGGTGCCTAACCCTGTTAGTGCTGATTAGGTAGACATGCGGTGAGCTGGTACCTAGCAGATGCCCATTCTTTGTGAAAAAGGCGGTGTTGGTTCGAAAGTTGATGCCACAACCGATGATGTCCAATGTGCCAAACTTGGGCCCATATGACCTCCCCGAAGTAGTGTTACTGAATACCTGACCATCATCACCATGATATGCATACGAGTCCGGTTCCCAGCCTGGTATCCGGCTCAAGGCAACCTTTGGTCCGGAGAAGCCGATTCCGATCATTCTCCTATAAGGGAAGTCAGCAGGCATTCAACGCGGTTCCCCATGTACATACCCGTCCTTTCCTTTGGAGATGACGGTAATCTCAAAGTAATAGATGCCACACTGCCGAGGCATTGGAAAGTCTGCTCGCACCGCTGCTGCCTCATCGTGTGTCTTCTGCGTGCCCGAGAACTTGGCTAGTCTCCCACTCTCCTCGAGCTCCAGCTGATTGAACCGGTCTCCATCATTCCACCTTGTCGGCCAAGGCGCCACTGGCTCATCCACAAATACCGGTGCGCGCTCGACAACCTCATGCGTGAGACCTCGATGTGAAGGTGGTATTTTATGTAGATTCACGCTACTGGAGCTCGTTGAGAGTGACCCCGCATTGGACGAGTGCGTCGACTTGAATTCGCGATGCGCGGTCAACTTCGCCTTGTGCGCCTCATGTAGCTTCTCTGCATGCTTGGACCCTCGGAGATATGAGGGCACAAAGAAGGGAGGTACATCTTGGGCAGACCCTCCCAGACCCTGCCAATAGCCAGACTGGCTCGAGTAGGAAGGCAGTGGTCCGCCGCCCCTTCCGAAGCTTGTAGACATGTGGCCGTCGGCGTCGATGGAGCGTGAGAGCCGATTCGCATGCGCTGCCGCGGAGTTGTTGACAAAGTGTGAGAAGGGTGTGGAGCGCGCAGGCTGTTGGAATGAGTTGTTGCTGCCGACTGAACCAGCAGCGACTCTGGCCCAGCTCTCTCTACGAGCGTTCATAGCGATGGTGGCGCTGTGTGCAGCTGGCTGTCCGCGGTGACGTTCGGGCGTGACGACGGTGAGGCAAAGGCGCAAGAGTCGCGAACGAGAATGGCTGGTCTGGCGATTGCAGCGAGCGGCGAGACTTGAGTGGGTTGGAGACGGCAAAAACGCGTGGGTTGGTACTGATGCGCCGAGTGTACCGTATGCGGTACTCTGTGCTGGCAGTTGCCAACCGGTAGAAACGGGAATCAACGACGGCCTGGTTCCTGTCCAACTACATTCACAAATACATTCATGGTTCCATTTGCAGAAAGAGTTGCTTTGGGCTCAAAAGCTGGCGACGGGGTGCAGTTCACGACGTGCGTCAGTCGTTGTCTATGGTCGGTCGGTCGTTTGGAACCAGCCGAGCTATCGGTGACGATCCCCGCAGTCGATGGCTGCGATAACGCCATTCACGCCATTGCCATCACGCCCGGGTCACCCTGACGCAAAATGGCAGCCTCTGGGGACAATGTTACGATTGTTTGAAGATATTGGAGCAAAATGGTCAGTTTCATATTTCCATCACTTTATGCCGGGTGCTCTGATAGTACATTCCCTATGCAAATCACACAAAGGTACCACGAGCAACACATCAAGATGACAGTGAATGGTATACAATACTCTCGCTTCTCATCCATAATTCTATGCAAAGCCGCGTCTTCCCCGCTAATTCGAGTGATATCGGTATCCAGTACACGTGTAGTCCCATATTAAGACCGTGCTCCCGCACCCTCGCGCTATGCTGCCAGTGGCAAGCTAGGAATTTCCGAGTCAACGCCATCGAACAAACATGCAATGCGCTCCTCCAACGCCGAACAGGGTCCCAGAACAATGATTGACATAAGAAAATAGTCTGCAGTGAATAAAGCAATAGTAAACCGTGACATGTGCAGCCAGTGACGTGTTGTCGATTAGGGGTGGGTGATGTGAGTCTAGGAGGCTGACATGGCTCAAGCTGGAATGGGAGCTGGTGAGCTTTCGAGGCCGTTCATCGGCGTCGGTATTGGCGTGCTGTCGCCGTTCATGCCGCTCTTGTCGCTGATGGCACTACTTTCGTCCTTGAGCTTGGAGTCGCTGGTGCCAGTGGTGTCGCTCTTGACGTCGTCGGCGAAAGCAGACCCGCGGCCTGGCTGGTAGGTAGGTACTTGCCACAGGACGCCGGTGAAGCTGCGAACTTGGAAGCCCTTCTTCTCCCATCGACGGCACTTGGCGCCTGATCGGTCAAGGGCACGTAGTCGCTCGTTGATGGCGCCTAGGTTAGCCTTGGGGCCAGCCTTGTTGATGGCTGCTGGTGCAGCAAAGGGACCTTTTGAGTTGGGGTCGTTGATGATGTCTCCCATCTTCTTCCTCTTGGGCCCAGGCTTGGCCTTTGGTTGTTTGGGTGTGCCGGCGTTGGAGCCAGCCTCCATCTGCGCAGCACTCCGCTTGCTCCCAGGCTTGGGGCCCTTCCTCTTGGCCGAGGGAGGAGCGAGCGACGAGGGTGTGCTGGCGTTCATGTCTGCGGTCGAGTCTGCGGGAGTGGCAGCAGGCGTAGGTTCGACAATCTGGGGCGTGGGTGTTGGTGTAGATGCCTTGGCTTCCTCCTTGACGGCGGGCGCGGGCTGGTGCGGGAACTGACTTAGGGACTCTGGTGACAGCTTGAATGTGACGACGAGTGTCTTCTGTGATTTTGTGGTCATGTTCGCGTGCAGCAACGCGGTGGTGATGAAGGCTCTCTGGGGGTGGGTAGCAGAAGACTTGGTGGATGGCTGCGCGGGTGGTGTGAAGACGTTTGCTTGCAGCGGTGAGTTTAGAGGCCAGCAGGTTTGCGTATGTGTCAGCTCAGGCGTTGGTGCAGCGGGCTTGACAGCAAGTCCAGGTGTCGTGGAGCAGATGATGCGCGTTGATACAAAGACGCAGGCACGGGATGAAGATGTGTATGGTAAGGGAGGATGGGTGGTGAGGGCTGCCGCGAAGGCAAAGAAAGGGCTTCGGCCCAGCTGGGGTGGTCGGCTTGCCAGATCATATTGGGCGGAATCGCTAAAACGTTCTCTCTCTGTCGCGCTTTGCAAGAGGTGAGGCCCCCTTGGCCCCGATCATCTCACGCGCTAACCCGATTAGACATATGGGATATCCGGCGCTGCAGTTATACATGTTCAGACGCATGGAGAAATATATTTGCTCGCAGCAACTTGATTTGCACTGTTGTTCCAGCACTTGCTGTGCCCGTGATGATGTTGGCGCTCTGCCAAAGGGGTCCGTGTGGCCTTGCTTTGTGGCATGGCGAGCTAATTGCGCGTTCCAATTCCTGAACGGCGGTAGAAGCATCGCGCATCCACCCATGTGCCACCAACGCAGTTTTTTCTTTCATCCGACACGGCCAAAGACATGCTGCAGTCTGTCCACATTCGGTCGCATGTCGCAATTAGGGTTATTTTGATTCTGCGTCTAGAACGCATGCTTTGTGTCCCACGGCCGCCTTCGCCGCCGAGCCTGCCTGCCGTCTTGATGTTCGTCCAGGCCGTAGCCGAACAGCCCGCGACGCTTTTCGAGGAACTTCGCGGACGAGCGTCAGCGAGCCCATGGCGCTGACTCTCCGGCATGCCTCCCTGGTAACGACGAGACTGTGACGGAAAGAAATCGGCCCAGAACCACCAGGTTGCATGCCGTTTCTCTCTACGCCACGCATGTCACTGTAAATCAATCCCAAAAGCCAGATAGTTGGCCGACTTGCTGTTGGCGTCGCTTCCAGCCCAGGTGGTTTCCATCCAACCACCGCGCAATCTCCGTCCATCGTCGGCTGCACCACGAGCGGCAAGCCAAGGCCCCTTTGCTCCCTGTTGAGCGTCCGCGATCGTGGCACCTGCCATGACCCACAAGCAGGAACGGTGCTCCGTCGTAGCCTCGTATGTACGGGAGCCTTCTCCTCCTCGCAGTCTTGGATTCTTGGTCCCACGCACGCATCCAACCCCAACCACCGACTACGGATGCGGGGTTCAACATTTTGCCCTCGACAAAATGCCGCAGCCTTCCATGGCAATGCCCATACGGAACCGCCCACTGTCCGCCAAACCCACTGCACTCGAAATGCAGACTCCGCAATGCCCACGTAGTACCCCAATGCTCCCTGCCCACCCCAAGGTCGTATGTTGCTACTTTGCTTGGACCGCCGAGCGCCCTAAAGGCAGAGAGTGAGCGGATGCAACTACTCATTAATGCAAATGCAAGGCGAGGGCATCAAACGATGCAGACCCTGTTTGTCCGACGAGCTTGACTGGCCTCAGGAGGAAGGCGCGTATCATCTGACCGAACAGGTAGGTGCTTCTCCACACAACTCCGCACAATTTCCATAACCCTCTTTGTTTTCGAAACCACCTGCAGTTTCAACCATCCAGGTTTCAATACCATCAGTACAGTGATAAGCAATGCTCATAAGACTACAAACACAAGTGCAAACTCAAAAAAAAGGCATTATTGGATTTTATCTAACCACACATGTCTTTTCACCGCCTTTGGACGCGAGGAAAACATCTTCATAAAGGGTGTGGACTGTTAGATATTTGTACCCTATTTCATCGCAAAAGGTAACGCCAGGATACCTCTACGGCATCACATTTCCTCTCAATCTGCTAGCAAAGACCAACGCCATAACAATGCAAAATGACTAGTCCCACAAACAATCTAGTCGCGCACGCTGAGTCCAGACCGGTCCGTAAACATGCGTGTGGCAATGTTCATGGCGAGAAGCTCCTGGAAGAGCAACTTGGCCGCGTAGGGAATGTGGATTTGCGAGATGCGCGTCTTGTTGTGGCAGGGACGGCATTCGTAAAGGTTCTTCTTCAGATTCCTGTACAATCGTTAGCACTCTGATTATATGGCCATGGGGAGCAATCAACTTACGCAATAGGGCTCATCAGGCCACAAATGTCGCACACATGCACCGTGTACGCATCCGAGACCGTGAAGAGGCGCTCCTTCAAGAAAGCAGCAGCACCGTGAGCAATCATACAATCACGTTCCATCTCTCCGAAACGGAGACCACCATCCCTAGCACGACCCTCCACAGGCTGGCGCGTCAGAATTTGTAATGGTCCACGAGCACGAGCGTGGATCTTGTCGTCGACCATATGCCTCAGACGCTGGTAATATGTGGGGCCCAAGAAGATTTGAGTTCGCATCTTCTTACCCGTATGGCCGTTGTACATGATCTCAAAACCACGCTTTTGGTAACCAGCATTCTCGAGTAGTTGAGATACCTGATCTACAGTGACATCGGTAAAGGGTGTGGCGTCACCCTCTTGTCCTGTGATGGCGCCAACCTTGGAAAGCAAACATTCGACCAAATGGGCAATTGTCATACGGGATGGAATGGCGTGAGGGTTGATAATCAAATCTGGCGTCAGACCCTCCCTGGAGAAAGGCATGTCCTCTTGTCGATAAGTGATACCGATAGTACCCTTTTGACCGTGACGAGACGCAAACTTGTCACCAATCTGCGGCACCTTGGTTGTCCTTGTACGGACCTTGACGAATCGCAGACCTTCGGTATTGGTAGTGAAGAGTACCTGATCGACGATACCGTTTTCGGTGCTACGAAGTGGTGTCGACACATCGCGCTTGGTGTGAAGAGTAGTCTTCTGTCCAAGCTCCGCTGCGTCAGTTGCAATGGGCGCTGTCTTTCCAATGATGATATCATCACCAGAAACACGCACACCAGGAGCAACGACACCGTCGTCGTCGAGCTTGTCGTATGTGCCACCCTTCAGACGTAGAGTATCGGCACGCGTAGGCTTCTCAAACTGCTCTAGAACGTTGACACCAATGCGCTTCTCTTGCTCCGTGTATGCACGGTAGAACAGACTCCTGAAGAGACCTCGATCGATACTGCTCTGGTTCATGATGACGGAATCTTCTTGGTTGTATCCACCATAGGTAGCAATGGCGACAATGGCGTTTTGTCCAGCAGGCAGTTCACGGAACTTGAGGTACTCCATGGACCGGGTTGTGGCCAACGGCTTCTGAGGGTAGTAGAGAACGTTCATCATCGTCTCCATGCGCAGCGCAAAGTTGGTAAGAGCCACACCCATGGCTTGTTTACCCATGGCAGATTGGTATGTGTTACGAGGCGATTGGTTGTGATCCGGGAAAGGAATAATACTGGCGCAAATACCCAGAATCATGGCCGGGTGGATCTCGCAATGCGTGTAAGAATGGATACGAGGATCAGGCAGGGGCTTGAGACGGCGAAGACGCTGGCTGCCTTCCAGAGAGTGGTCGGTCATAGGCAGGCCCATCTTCATTTCTCGCCACTCTTCCAAGTCTTCTGGGGAGAACGTTATCATGGCAGTCTCTTCTTCTTCGGCGTCAAGGTACTCGACGACACCATCTTGGATAAGCCCTCTCCAACCGTAGGTGGCCTGTTCGACTTCCTCCTCACTCCAGCCCTGTCGCTGGTTGGCCTCCATTTGCTCGGACTTCAGTTTGTTACTAATCTCCTTTGTGAAGATGAGATGGTTGCGGTTTGGCTTCCGGACGTCGTTCTCGACGACGAAAAGTGGTCTCATGACACGACCAGCGTCTGTGAAAATCTTGAACTCTCGATCACGAATGTCACGAATCAGACTCATCTCGTAGGAGAGAGTACCGTTTCGCCGCAGTTCCTGCACAACAGTGACGAGCTGTTGAGCGTTGGAATGAACACCAACCCATACTCCGTTGACGAAGACCTTGGTCGCGTCTGGACTCTGGTTTTGGTCATACTCTTCTAGAAGCTGCATGTTTCGCTGGGTCATGAAGTCGACAATGGGTGTTGCGTCGCTACCGACACTTACGTAGCACATCAGTGACAGGTTCTTGACCAAACCACAAGCCTGTCCTTCAGGGGTTTCAGCAGGGCAGACGAGGCCCCAATGGGAATTGTGAAGTTGTCGCGGCTTGGCCAGTTTGCCGTCACGACCTACGGGGGTATTCGTTCGACGAAGATGGGAGAGTGTAGACGCATATGTGTATCGGTTCAACACTTGCGATACACCAGCCTTGGCCGAAGCAGCCTTTTTCTGGTCACCCCAGTTGCCAGTGGCAAGGGAGTACTTGAGACCGTTTGTGATGGTGCTTGCCTTGACGGCCATCTGGACGTTGAAATCCTGGTTGTTCTCAACGCATCGCTGGAGGTACTTGTAAACATCCTTGGTGAGCTTGAGGAACAGAATACGGAACAAGTTGGCAATCAAGGGTCCCGCAAGATCCAGGCGCTTCTTTCCGAAGTGATCACGATCATCTTCGTCGCGTCGACCCAACACACACTGCAATAGTCGATGGATCATGTAACCGAAGAAGTAGGCTTTGCGGGTGTCCTGGCCCTCCTTTTGGGAAATGTGAGGCAAGAACTCGCGCTGCATGATATCCCTCGCGAATTTCAAACGCCTGTCTCTGGTTCCAGAGTTCGCGCCACGCTTGGCGATGAAGTCCAGAGCCGTCTCCCTGTCCTGCACGACTGAACCCTCCTCAATACTGGGCTTCAACAGCTCCAGGGTTTGTGTGTCGTTACGGTCGAAGACGATGTGGCTCAGAATTTCCTCGTCGGAAACGATTCCGAGCGCACGGAAGACAATGGCCATTGGCACATCCGCCTTGATGTAAGGGAGGGTGGCATATGCGAAGGGTCCGGGTATACGCTTGCCGGGGCCAGCGAGCGAGTTCTCAGCCCACTTGATGTTGAAGGAGGAAATCAGGCGGGTGCCCTTTTCGACTGCACTTCGAATTTCCGCTATCCATGGGATAGGACCCTGCTTCTTTCGGAAGACCTGTACAATGTTCGCTGCGCTGCGCTCCTGGGCGATCAGCACCTTCTCACTACCGTTGATAACAAAGTAACCACCCTGATCGTAGGGACATTCGTTGAGCGCGAACAGATCAGCATCCGACTGAGCTCGCAGGTGGCAGAGCTCGGACCTCAGCATCACAGGCAGCTTTCCGATGAAGACACGGGCCGCAGCGCCATCATCCGACGACATGTTCTCGCGCTCCCACCGAATTTGGTTCTGCCCTCCTGTGTATCCACCCTCCATTTCCTCATCGTCGTCGGCGTCCGGGTCACGTCCTTCGCGGGCGACCATGACACGGTTCTCAATGTCGGCCAACATGGCGCCCGAGTAGGTGAGGTTGCGCAGACGCGCCTCGTGGGGGTATAATTGCACCGTTGTGCCATCGCCTTCCGTGTGCGTCGGGCGCGCAAGGTAGACGCGTCCGAATTTCATTTCATAGCGGCGTTTAATAATCGGATTGTCCTCCTCATCAGGGTTGTAAGGTTGGTTCTGCTCGAGGATCACGCTGCCATTCTCTTTTACAATGTCTTGTATTGTGTTTCGGGTGAACTCGTCATATGAGTCGAGTTGTTGCGAAACCAGACCTTTTGTGTCAAAGAAGGAGCTGATGACTGCCCAGCAGTCCTCGGGCAGGACGCGGTCTTCCTCATCCTCGTACTCGTCCATGCCCTCATCGTCGTATTGCTCATATTCGGCCATGGCGGCGATAGTGTGTATTATACGCGAGGTGGAAAGAAGGTGGTGGGAGGTTGAGGTAGGACGTGTAGAGTCCTTGTCTCTGTGATGGTTGCGACAGCCAGGCGGCGAGTGCTTCTCAAAGGAAAGTTATGCGCTAGTGGCGATACGGTCTAGACCCGGCGTTAGCTTTCCCATGGTTCCCCACCTAGGCACCACATTCACCATTACACACTTCGTACCATCCAAGGTTGAGCTGCAGCAGAATTCAAGTCCAGGTTATGGTAGTGACACTACAGCTTTTACGAGTACCAAAGTTGAGATGAGATTGACTCAAGACTTACATTCACATGTGATCATGCACATGCTCTGGCATCACTACTGGTAATAACGTTGAACACGTTGTGGCTGTGAAAGTTACCAATATCGCAAACACACCTACAAAGGCATCTCATGTGCATGCGTCTCCTGGCTGCCGCGGAGTAGAATGCATCATTCCTCGCCCCGGAACAGACCCCGAGTCGCCCCAAACCCCTCGGATTTTATTGACAGCTATTTGTCTAAAGTAATTGGTCGATGAGTGGCTTCACCGGAGTATGTCATTTTATCATATGCAGCCTTACGGAATTGCGTCCGCAATGGTACAGCAACCGCGGCGAGCCTTGATGCAACCTTCCTAGAACGCCAACACCGGTTTCTCTCATCAACCTGTAATTTCGAATTATATCAACATTGACCATTACCACTAATGCATGTTATCATTTTACCATACTCATGAGTCAGTTGAAACTTGAACGTCAAATAATGTCGCGCCTCACTCGTTTGCCCCCCCGTCTCGCAGGAGGCATGCATGCAGGGAGTGCTCAGCCTCTCACCGCAACATAGGTTGCCTCACCGCCATAGTTGACCAGTTTAGATCTCTCCCACAGTTCTTCTTTCCAATTCTAATCTGATCAAATATACCATGGATCCTTTATCGATCACAGTCTCTTGCGTCACATTGGTGACGGCGGTGTCCAAAGTGACATATTCATTGACGGGCTTCATCCGAGAATGGCGCGACGCTTCCCTTGATCTCAAAGTTATCTCCCAGGAGCTATTTTCGATGCAAATTGTGATTGGGAATCTCAGGAATACCTTCGTAACAAAAGAGTCTACGCTACCATCCAACCTCAGAGAGCAGATACTTGGTATTTTGAAGAGCTGCATTCAAGTTGTAAGTGGCATTGAGGCCTCTCTCACTAAGCATGCAAAGTCAAGACTAGGAAAAGGAGGTTACTGGACACTCGGTGGGGGCAAGGAGGATATGGCGAAGCACCGATCCAGCCTTGAAGCACACAAGTCCGCACTAGAAATCACACTGGAGCTCGTGTCCATCACCATTAGTCGAGACATCAAGAAAGATACGACTCAGATCCTGAAAGAGATGGCAAAGCTACGTCGGCAATTACCAATTGATCAATCTCTATACCGGCACTCAATTCCCCATCGTGCGCCGAAGAGAGAAACGGGCAATATCAACAGCTTCTCCGAAACATATCAGCACGATGATGAAGCATACGTCAGCGGCTCCAGCTCCGACATGGAAAAACCGGAAACCGACATCCGCACAGTCTCCATTGTATCCCGACCTTCAATTTCTCAAGTCTACCGAAAGACTGGATACACCCACACCAACACATCAACACCATACATACAATTCACCCCCTACTACCACCCCCAAACAAACACATCAACGCACTTCCCACCAACCACACTCTACCTCCCCGCCAACATAAACACTATCTATCTCGGCCGCTACAGCAAAAGCAGGAGCCAGGAGCAAAACTTTGTCGGCTTTGCATCCAGAGTCGTCAGCAGAGTGCACTGCGATATATGGTTCAAGGAAGGGAAATGGTACATTAGAGACAACAAGAGCTTGGCAGGTACATGGCTGAATTCTGGGCGGTTGAGTGAAGTAGGCAGGATGTCGAAGCCGTATAGATTACGAGATGGTGATGTGCTGCAGTTGGGTATGGATTATCATGGCGGATATGATGCTGGTGGCTTTAGCGGGGAAGGCTATCAGGATTTGAAAGAGAGTTGGAGACATGTCAGGATGGTTGTTCATTTGGGTCAGCGCTGATGATGATGATGATGATGATGATGAGAAGGGTGGTACTCTATGGTGAACTGCTAGTGTATTATTTTACTGCATTGAGCATCTAACCAAATAAGAAATTACTACATGTTCATATGCCTATCGAAACGTCCATTCCCCCAAGCGACCTAGCGTCGACGGTCCCGATCGTCCCGGCGATAGCGATCCCGACTCCTCTCCCGACGGCTGTCACGATGGCGATTTGGACTGCGACTTCGCTCTCGCCTACGGGCATTATATCGTCCATCATCGCCGTCTCGACGTTCTCGCGTCGGACTTCGACTTCGCTTCCGCTTATAACTATCGTCATGGTATTCCTGTCTTCGTTCTCGTCTTCGGGTATCGTCTCGTCGCGTGTCCCGACCGCTTTCGCGTGGGCGCTGTGTTGTTGTGTCTTTGGGAACATCTCGATCAGCCACCAAGTTGTCAACAACCGAATCCGACATGATCTGTCGTCCAGAGCCATCACGATATTGCTTCTTCTTCTCGAGATTGTCAATACCACCAAAACCACCAGCTGCACGTCTCCTCTTCTTGTTGGTGACATCTCGCCAGTCATCGGCGATTTTGGAGACGGATTGGGAAAAGTCCACGTGTATGCGGTGATCGTCGATTAGGACACCGTCCATTTTGAAATAGGCTTGTTCGCAGTCCTTCTGGTTGGTGTATTCGATGAAAGCGTACTGCAGGCTGTCCCCTGTCTTCTTATCCCTGATGACCTCGCAGCTAAGGATCTTACCGAATCTCGAGAAGATAAGCTCTAGATCCTCGTCCTGTGTTACTGGGTTCAGTTTGCAAACGAACAGCACGTTCTCAGGTGGTGCAACTTCGGCGAATGGTAGATCGCCGACCATCTCAAGTGTGAGGGCTTGTGCACGCGCCTCACGTTCCCTGCGAATCTTCTCCAGCGCTTCCGGGTCCTTGTCCTCCTCGAGATTCTCATCATATGCGACACGGACGGTGGCAAGTTGCGCAGCTGAAGGTGCAGGGCTTTCGGGTGGCTCAACGAGGCCGGTGGGGTCTTCATATGGATCATCAAGAATAACGGTATGCAGTATGCGAATGTCTTTGAGTGGATGGCCCTTGTCGTCGATGTATGCCGTGTTGATTTTCTCTAGCGTATCAAATCCTTCTACGACAGTACCGAATATCGCAGCCTTGCCATCCAGATAGTCAATGTTTTGTCCCAGCGTTATGATGAATTGACTGCCTGCAAAGCGCTCGTCTGGGTTGTCGGGATTCGGCGCCGTAGCCATACTGACGGTGCCCATTTCCGCATGTTTGAGCTTGGGTTTAAACTCCGGCACAAAGGTCTTCTTTGCTGTTTGTGCAGGGTCAAGCAAACCCCATATGGAGCGGCCACCATCACTGTCTTTGGAATCGGGGCCGATGGGGTCGCCGGTCTGGAAAGAAAAGTTTGGTTGGACGCTATGCACAGGCGCAAAGTTGTAATACTTGACTTTACAGAGCTTCAGAAAGCTAGAGCGACAAGTTGTCAGTGTCTGTTGTGTGCTCAGCTTGGGAAGACAGAGGGATCAAGCCTGCAGGATGCGGCTAAGAGGACGCGAGGCGCGCCTAGAGATTGAATCGACTTACTTCTCACAGCATTTTGGCGCATCGTCCACCAGCAGATCGATGGTAATGTCACCGAGCGAGGTTTCTAGAAGCACAGACATGGCCCGGGGAATGTGGTGCTGAGAGCACAAGTGTTTGTCGCAACTGTGAGAGAGTTGAGCGCGACAGCCGTCGAGCGCGTAACTTTGTCGCTTAGTCATCATGACGTAGCGCCTAAAAGAGCCTAGCCTCAGGTACATCCTTCTGTTTCCCACCTTGAGGTCTCGCAAGCTGCTCAGGCAATACTCCTTAGGCAACGTGCTTCCGCATGCCTCACATCTTCCAGCAAAATGAATGGTCCTGCCAAGTTTCCATTATCCACACCTTGGAGAGGTTCCTGATGCAGTTACAGCGTGCAGTTGCAGCGTACAGCGACAGCTCGACTTGAAGACGCGCCATGGAATGCAGGATACCATGGCTGTCAAAGCTTTGTGTGAAAAGTGTAAGACTAGCTAGAAAGAGCTTGGAAGGTCTGCATGAAGCGGGCCGTTGAGTGTCACCCGTCATCGCTGATTGCTGTACGCTGCCATCCCTGCTCAAAATTTCGGAAGCCTGCTGCCTTACCTGCATATCGATCCGAATTCCCCGGACCCGTTATGCAGAAAGAGCACTCAGCTGTACCAAGTGTCGGCGACGATCGTATCGGGTATACCTCCCCGTTAACAACTGCTGGATGCTGGACATGGGCCTTTACTTCTCGCTCTGACTGTACCCCTGTAATGGCGATAGCTCAGATCTGTGAGGTCTCAGCTTGCTACTATAGCCACACGTTCTATTAGTAATTACACTAGCAATGATCAGCTCTGATGTCCATGGGCAGAGATTACATTGGATACCAATCACGGATGTGGTGACACTGGCCGACGTCCATCACCTTTCTCGTGCACAGTTACGAAATACTGTATACAGACATATCCAGCAGCAACGGGCCCACGAGCCTCGCATTGCCCTGTCATTCTACCCTATGAAAAGGGACTACTTCTATGCCAAAGTCGTGTAACACAGTCCAAACGCCAGAGAAGGTCTAGGCACATCAAGCATTGGTCCCACGATCAATATGGACGACTCCTTAGCGTACCATCTGTGGGAATTGCGTGTTGACGTTTGCTTACTTCTTGGCGTTGGCGTTTGCTAAACCTATTGGTCTACTGCATGGAGGGGTTCTTCACTTTCTCAACGTGTGCACGCAAATGACTATCCCTATGTGGAGATTGCAACCATGATAACCACCACTATGAACCTCGAGGTGGTAAGACATGTGCGCGTCAACCGGTCATTGATCGAAAAGCTTTTGCACAGGTCTTCGCAATCTTTTGAGTCTTTCCTGGAAGTGTTACCGTTGGTCGGACTTGGATGTCAATATGAGAACCCCTGCTATGGCGAAGGACAACTGCGTTGCCCAACGCGATCCGGATTTGGGATAGGACCCGTCGGAAGACTTCCTAGCCTTCCCCGTAAGTCCGTTGTTCGTGGAGCTGTCAGAAGTAGTTGCGGCACGGTGCACCATGAAAATGATGCACAGGGCTTTGCAGCCATTAGACCGTTTAGTCCAATCCCTACTCACCGCAACCACATTCAACCATGAAGTCGGCTTCATCAGACGAAAAGCTTGTAGATGATGTATTCATGTTGTTGATCCTGAGTGGTTTTCGCTTACAGCAATCTTATCAAGGATTGTTTGCATATGCATCGAGGATCTGCAGGTACGTTTCATCCCAAGCCATACGGACATGGAAGCGGATGGTTTAACACCTATGACGTTCCCTGAGAATGGCGATCACAGAACCTGTTTAGACACATCCCACTCCGGTACCTACTACGGGTAACCTACCTATGCTGACCCCTACATGTATTACTATTGTCATAGCGTTCGCATGGCGCAAGTCAGACGCCTCAGATACCTACAGCAACCCTGGACGCCTCGTACACTCGTATTGGATGAAGGCACATCGAATTAAAGCCCCGAATCTGTGCCCCATCTCCCTGCTCCGCGGTCGTACGATGCAGGTCGCAAACATCTGACTGATTGTGAAGACATCCGCCTGGTTGAAGGCACTGGCGCAGTGCGAACGAATGATTGCTTGCATGACCGGGCCATTTGCTGAAGCCTCACATTTCTCGCATAGTGCGGATGCATCACTATGTCTCATGTGTGGCTGTCAAGAGTTCAACACACCCCGAATACGTCTCCATCGGCTCTGGCGCTTATCGAGTGGGATCAAGACACGACCTCGGCCGTACAAGGTTTCACTGTCTTTGTTCTCCGCGGCACCTGTACCATGCTGCTTCTGAAGTGGATGCTTCTGAATCCCTGTAGAAGGAAGACGAAGCGGTGGCGGGCTATCTGCATGCAGGTTTCCGCAATAGTAGCGATCATGGTAGCCTTTTGCCAAAAGTACAAACAGTTTAGTACTCAAGCATACTACGCAGCTCTAAAAGAACTCGCAAATGTCACTCATTCGCAAAACTTTAGCCACGTCAACTTTCCCACGACATTAGCAAGTTACTCGGCCTTTCACTACAGCCTCGCGGCAGATGCACGTTCAACTCTTTTAGGCTATAAAACTTGTCCTTCCAGTCGATCGCAGTTTGATCTGCTCACCGGTCCATTTTCTTCTCCGTAGAGCAACGTTCACAACCCAGTTACCGACGATTGAGTTCCCCTACTCGATCAGGCCACTCACTTTTCGAACGCTACTCGGATCAAATTTCACACATCTCTCCTACAGACACCTTGGGTTGTAATAGCATATTGTGAGTGAATATTCCGGTATCTTTGACTACCAAGTAAGCTAATTCCATGATAGCCTTGCGATATCCGTAATGGAGTACGACAGCTCGCGACGATGCTTACCGCATAATGTCTCGTATCCGAGTTACATCTACAATGAACGCAATACTCCGCTCGCACTCGCTCATAATACGAGAGAAAACCCCCGTGGATACCCCGTTGGCGGCCCAGTGGGCAATTTGCACAGCCGAGCCCATATGGGACATGAAGAGTCTCTCTTGGACAATGGCCCCGCTAGACGTCGTATAGCAATAGCGGTAAGTCATCGACTACTTCAATGCTGCCTCAAGCACAATTACATACGATGAACTCCATCCTAAGACTTTCCCTTGGCTACGTATCGTCATTTTTCTTGTGCTTATCGCTGATATGAAACGCAGTGTGCGCGTTGCCGGAAGAGAAAAATACGTTGCAGTGGTGACCCTGGGAATGGTGCTGGCTGCCAAAACTGCCGATCAGCTGGTGTTGATCCGATGCAATGCCAGTTTCATCGAGTAGGTTAGAGCTCTTCGTATTGTGTACTATCACTGACTTCAACAGGTGGGATCCGATGTTCCCCACAAAGTCATCGATAATTACAGCTTGGCACAAAGTCTGGGCAATATGGCTCACACCCACAATGTGATGTCGATTTACTCTGCAGGAGGTAGCAGCGCCATCTACCAACGCCAGCTGCCGAATCAGCATTACCCACAACTCGATACGAAACCCGCATACTCTTCAGGCTGGACTGTTCCCTGTCCAGAAGATACGTCGCCCGTCGAAGCATACAGTATTGACCAGCAGTCTTCCTATTTACCAACTTCCGTACCGATGGCAAATGCGAACATGTATGGGCCAGCGTATCGATACTACCCAACCGTTAAAAACCCGCAGCATGGCAACACATACTTTGATCAGGAGTCGCTCAACACTTTACCTTACTCTACTACCAACGTCCGTCTGGCCACAACATCAGATATCTCCCCTTTGAATACTGGTATGTCCGCTTTGCACCTATCGATACCAGAGAGGCCTCATCCGCGACAATACAACCAATCTGAATCCAATGCGCCTCAGAGACAACTTCCGATGCCGCAGCCTAGCCCAGCTCAGAATAGCCGCAACGTCGTAGATCAAATGCAAGATGCACGCCTCCGTTCCGCTCAAGCAATTCCCGGCTCTACTACTGATAATAGAGGGTCTTTCGCAAAACCTCTTCTCCCTTGGGGTGTCGCAGGAGATGTTCAACTTAACATGTCAGGGGCGACATCCACAGACGGTACGACTCAGAGCATGGCTTCAGCTCAACTTTCCGATAGCACGGAGAATGCAATGGGTTATCTTCCGGCCACCACAATCGGGGATGGTCCGAGCGCAACAAACAACGGGAGCCAGATACATCTTAACTTCAGTACTTCTAGTCTTCTCGACGCAATGAGTGCGTCTGCGCCAGTATCTACGGAGTATTCTTGCATCCGCGAGACCCCCAATTCATCTGAAATGGCCCGCCAGAGCTCTCACAACAGCTTGTATAGCTATAACACCGATCGTAAGCGACACTCATCCGGCACTGATCCGTCGAACGACTGTACGCTAGTGAGCGGTCATCGATATACGCCTCTTGGTCAGCCACAATCACAACACTCACCGGGCAGGCACAACATACATCGAGAGTCATGCCAGAGTCGGAACGTGCAGCTTCACCGGGCTTCCATGGGCAACCTCAATACCACTTATTGACGGTGGTCGATTTCAACTTTGTTTTCTACCACCGCGGTCTTTCTGGTTTCTATTATGCTCATACGACTTCATTTATTTTCGTGTATTGAAAGCTCTCGCCATGACTTCTATCGATGCATTTCTGCATTGCATTCTTCTTTTTGCGTGGCATCGCTTTTACCCGCATAGTCTGCAAGTGCCCTTTCTTGTCATAGCCTTTGTCGCCTGTCTCATCTACCTTGTATTTCAATGTTTGCTTTGTCGATTTCTCATACATTGCTTCCAGCATCATTGATACGAAAAAAAATTGTTTAACGCGCGGGCGGCTGTTGACGATAATTCCAGACCCCAGTATCTCTTATCCTCGTCTTTCCTCACACAGAGAGAGACAACAACGTCAGGGCCACTCATTACAAAATCTCGATTCTTCGCGTTCACACTCGATTATCCAGGGATGTTTTTGCATGGCGGCAAGCTGGGTGTGTGTATACAGTTGTTGCTTGCGCATGCGAAATCAGCGTCTGGAAACTATAACCAACTGAAGAATCATGTACCCAGATACTATGTACTGATTAGCTTAGAGAGGAGGTGTCCACTGGCGAGGTAATAATAATGATCACTGCTTCCGAAACACCCAAGTGTGCATGATATGTGTAAAAATAGCTGCTGTCGCATTCTAATGCGCATCTTCCGCATCCCGCAGTCCAAACAAGAAGTATGCACTCCTTCGCTCGAGCCTGTGTTACTACAATATCGACATTGCACCCCTGTTACACTTGCAGGAAACAGCACACATGCTCGAGCCTCGCTTTCCCTTCCCCCTGCTGCTAACCCACACGTGACAGTGCCGTGCAGTGCAGCAACCCCCACATACACCGCGGAACCCCCTTCCCATCCTCTAACCCCCAAGATACCCGGAGAACGTCCCCCATCTATTCTACCTACAGCCGATATACCACGACATACATGTCACACACCGCTCTAGCCGACGACGACCCCAAACACAGTAAACAAACGCGTTTTCCCACCAGCGGGTTCTTCGGCTACATCTGGACCCTGGGTTACAGGAAAGAGACAGAGTGAGCGCGAGCAATGAGCAAAAAGATGGGGCCCCCGCCCTATCCGCAGTTACCCCCATTTAACACAGGTTACACAGGCACTTCTTGGACTGGTTACACAGAGCACAGGTTTCGGCCGGTCAGCAGCTTGGTCGTACAGCAGACACATGCACGGAGCAGCGGCAAGGCAAGGGCAATAGGGACATGAGGGGAGGGTCGTCTCCACTTCTTTTGGGCTTGTTTGGGCTGCTGTGTGTGCATGTGTGTGTGTGTGTGTATGTGTCGGGGATGCTGCTGCGAGTGGTGCAGGTGTCCTGGTTTTTCTTTCTTTCTCAAGCAGGGTTGTATGTGTCTGTGTGCTGCGGGGGTTCTCTTTTCGTAACGAGTGATGGGAGGCGTGTGGAGCTGGTGCAGGTAGTTGGGGCCGAGAGGCGGTGTGGTGTGGTGCAGGGTGGGCGGATGGGGGATGGGGGGCTGTTCCCGCTTGTGGGGTGTGGTGTATGGGTTGTACGTGGTGGGGGCTAGAAGGAAGAGAAGGTTTTTGGCTGTGATGGGTGGGATTGGGTGTGTGGGACGGAGGGTGCGGATGACGGGTGGCTAAGGTAGACTGGTTGGCAGACTCCGCAACAATCAATCGATTGACATGATTGATTCCTATATAGGTTAAAGAATTACTTCATTAGGCAGCCTTTAACCTAGATAGGAATCAATCATGCCGATCCGATTGATTGTTGCGGAGTCTGCTGGTTGGGTTAGGTACTAGAGCTGAGATCTAGTTGAAGCCAAGGCTTACACTTGACGCGTGATGGCTAACTAGGAGGTGTTTGGTCGTCAGGCGAGTGGCGTGCAGCCTTGCCTCCGCATATCGTCCGTTCCGGCTTCTTATTGCGAATGTCACGTTTTATGGGAAAGACTTGCTTGCCGAACGTGTAAGTCTTTCATGTGCTGCTAAATACAGTGCTGACTGCATATGAAGCGATTGAGTCTTTCCATCGCAGTTGCTCAGTTTAGACGTTTGCTCCAGGGGTCGCATCTGTTGCAGTATATGCAGTCAATCAAAGTGTAACCGCGCGAGGCAGTAATTAGAGTATATTGTGTATGTTTTCTTGTAGTGTTGTGTCTGCTCGCCTTTTTACGAAGGCAGCAGCAGGGTCTGTTTACATGACGTATCTCTGATGCTGGTAAGAGGAGAAGGTGCTCATGGAGGAGAGGGAGGAGCGCCAGGACAACACACGTGACATGCGCAATACCCTTGCCTCACAAACCGCAACATTTCTTCTAGACGACCATGTCGAGCTAACGATATCACAGCTTCGCCGCTGTTGAGGTAGTCTTCATTGGGACCAGTAACAGTACTGGTTGAAGACAAGGGTAATCACTGCAATCAAGTGAATAGCACGATAAATACAGCATCTCAAAACCCTCGTCCAACCTGCTTTTCTTATCCAGAATGTTGATGGGATATGACTGGGATAAGCTTCACATTTACACGCACGCGCACAGAAAATCTCCACACATCATCTTTTAATCTTGCATTACAACACACGGCATCCATCTCATCCGTGTGCATCTATATCCCGCTTTTGTTCCCGAGCGCCAAAAGAAAATCTCTCGCCCTAGGGGGTATATCTTCCTGTGCACATATGAACCTAACGAAACAAACATAAATTCCCGTTTGTCCAAAACATCAAGTTACCGAAAAAAAAGCCGTGCGTGCTTGTTAGATACCGCCCAATTCCAAAAACGAAATACGGAATACAAAGCCGAAGCAATTGGTGTAGATGCGTGTAAAAAAACGCCAACCGGAGCGATTGCTCTTCTTCATATATCCATTTCTTGCCAGCCACCCAAGAGAAAGGAAACAAAAAAAGGCATGAAAGTATCGTTTCTTTGGCCTTGAATTCAACGGCTTTCGTGGTATGTATCGCGGTGCGTATGCAATGCGTCGTGTGGGCTGCTCAGATGGTCGAACTAGGCGCCACTAAACTGACTTCGCCTGGAAGAAGCTTCGCTTTATCTTTGAATCTATTCGCCAATTCCTCGATCTTGGGTATCAACTCGCCGATTCTAAAGGGCTTGCTGACGACGTCGTCCATGCCTGCTGCGAGCAATGTGGCAATTTGCTCGCTTCTTGCATTCGCTGTGACAGCGATGATGGGAACGTGGCTTTTTAACATTCCGTCTTGCTCCAGTTCGCGGATCTTCGAGGTACATTGGAGGCCGTCCATAACGGGCATTTCTTTGTCCATGAGAACGACTGAGATATCGGTGGGAGAAGAGGGGGATGCCGTCGGAGATGGAGAGGCCCAGAAGGTGGATAACTTCAGGGCATCGAGCGCTTCGCCGCCGTGGTTTGCGACGATGGTTTGGATGCCTTGGTTATGGAGCTGTCGTTGCAGGACTTTTTGGTTGACTGATATGGATTAGTAAGCAAGAATCAACATGTAATTGAGGCCTGCGACGTACCAAGATTGTCCTCCACGATCAATACCTTGAGCTCCCTCTTCTTCAGCTTAGGCTTTGAAGCTGCACCGCTCTTGTTGTTCAGGGTCGCAAAGTCCTTGACCTTTGATGGTACGGACAATGTAGTTCCTCCTCGGTCCTTGGCATTTGATACCTTCCGTGAAAGAGTCGCTACTGGGAGAACCTCCAGAGGTTCTTGTGGCTCACTGCTTCTCCGACACTTGACGTAGAAAGCAAAAGTACTTCCCTTACCAGCCTCAGAAGAAACGCCAATCTCGCCTCCCTGTAACTCTGTGAGTTCACGGGATATGAACAAGCCGAGGCCAGATCCACCGTATTGGACGTGTGTTCGCGGGCTTGCTTGGGAGAACCGTTGGAACAGCAGCTTCTTCTCTTCGGGGCTAAGCCCCCGGCCTGTGTCTTGAACTGCAAACTCCAAGAAAATCTCTTCGCCATCGCCCCAGTCGGGGCCACAGGTCTGGTCTGTTCGCTTGGCTCGCATAGGGAAGTAGCTAACAGTAGGATTCTTGCTCGCTGATGGTCGTTCGCGGGACGCTGAGAGGACGACTTTGATGGTCCTTGTCTCCTCTGTGGTGGTGAATTTGATTGCATTGGTGGTCAGGTTGATCAGGACCTGTCTCACTATTAGTGCGTTTTCCAAGTAATTCGATCAGAAAGTCCATACTTGTAGTACTCGTGACGGGTCAATCTTGACCCAATCAACGCCCAACCGCGTGAAAGAATCTGTAAGGACAAATTCCATTTGGATACCAGCTGTCTGTACTTCTCCTTCGAACATCTTCAATGCACGTTGGACGACTTGCAATGGCTGTGTGTCAACCGGGGTCACCTGACGAGTGTGTTAGAAAATATCGCGCATACAACGTAGACAACATACCATGAGCATTGCACTGTCAAGCTTCGATAACGTCAGGACATCATCAACAATTCGTTTCTGATGCTGTGCACACAAGGCAATAGTCTGCGCCGCATCGATGGAATCGGCCAGAATACCCGCGTCCATAACTTTTGAGCCGGAAGCCCGGAAATCACTCAAGATAGTGCTAATCTCATCGGCGCATTGCAGGATAGCGGAAAGAGGATTTCGCATTTCATGACTCGTGATGTCGATGAAGTTCTCTTGTTGTCGTTTGAGCTCCACTGCTTCCTCCATTTTCCTCTTCTGGAATCCCTCTGCCCATTTCTGCGGGCTGATATTGGTGATGCTTCCAAAAACACTCTTAAGCTGCCCATGCTCATCTTTTTCTGGAAAGGCCTGGAACAAAACCCACGTGTCACTCTTGTTGCGATTTCGATCCTCCCAAGGCGCCTTGAATCGGAACTCGATATTGATTGGCGTCGTATTATTCACCAGTTTTTTCCAATGCTCCAGAATAAGGCTTTGGTCCTCCTCCTTGACGAAGTCGATCCATCTGTCGGTCAACTCTGGTTCTCTCGGCACTCGTGCGATTTCGTACCACGTGTCGTTGCAGTATGTTATTCTTCCAACGTGATCGGCGATGAAAAGACCTGCGGGTGATAGCTCTGCCATTCGAGTAAATCTCGTTTCGCTCTCACGAGCTTCTTGTGTACGTGCAGCAAGCTGAGTGGACAGATGGTACCTGTCTTCTGCGGCTAGTCGGGCTGCCCTTTGACCTCTCCGTATCTCTTCTTCGAATAGCACGACTGAAGCCAACGACGTCGCTAGTTGCCGGCTCAAAAGTTGGACGAAAAGGTTGTAGTCGTCATCGTAGGGTCTTCGCGGATTGATACCCATGATCAGAAAGCCAAGAATGTTTTCGCCTGTGGTGGGATGGATTGGGCATATCACCACATCCCTGCAAGGATCTCCGAAGCCCCGCCATTCGAGTCCTTCCATCATAGCGTATGGCAAATCCCCCGAGCCGATGCTCACGACTACCGGTTTGTCGGTCTTCATGACTTCTCGGAAAACGGGCCCAAAGCCTTCCTGTCCTTCTTTGAGATCAATTTGGTCGGGTGCTGCTTGGTGACCATCTGGTACACCCAAGGAGCCTTCGAGGAAACACTGCTTTGAGCCGAGCAAGCTGCTGGAATGCAACGAGGAAGAATCACTGTCATTCTCGTCATTCACACTGTAGAGCATGACCACTGGAGTATCGAATTCGTTCTCGGTCAATGCAATTAGCACTTGATCCCAGAAGCCTTTGACTTCACGAGCAGTCGCAGTCCGCTCTCCAACTTCGCGAAGTGTCAGCATCCGTCTCTCGGCGATTTTTCGTCTTGTCTTCTCAAAGGCTGGGTTGTACAGGCCCATGACTGTGCCATCTTCTCCGACCATGGGGATGATGGACCAGGAGAAGTAGGTTTCTTCCAGAAAGCCATTCCGTTTCATGAAGAGGCAATCATCGTCCTTCATTGTCGCTTGGCCGGTTAGACGTGCGTTCGCGAAGACGCCCTTGACCTCATCCCAGATCTCCGCCCAGGCAACTTTGTAGCTCTGGCCCATTAGCGCGGGGTGTTTTTGGCCGGCGAGTCCTGGTCTCATGATTAATGGCTGTTGTTGCGTGGAGCTGTTGCGACTTACCGATGTAAGCCTCATTGTAGATGGCTACAAGCTCTTCGCCCCAGTACATAGCTGCTGGGTGGGGACTCGCCCTGTGAGAGTCAGTATTGGGCGTCAGGCTCATACACATCAACCAGCAAACTCACATGATAAGGTTACACATGGCACGCAGGTCGTTGGACCAATATTCGATTGGACCTAAAGGCGTGGAGGCCCAGTCGATTGACCGGGCAAACTGAATGTGTCTGGGAAGAGATGGCGATACTGCTAGCCTGGTCCAATCGAAAAAGCCCATATCTTGGTTATCTTCCGGAGGACTGTGGGTTTCGCTGTGGAAAGAGTCAATGTCGCCCGCTGTATTTGCTCGCAATACGCACTCATTTGCATAAGAAAGCGAATCTTCTATTGACGGGAAGCCGATTTTTGACGGCCGAGGAATAGCTTCACTGCCGTCTTCGCCAAATTTTGGGAAGCTGGGATTGGGTGGGGGTGCAGAAATGGGAGGCGTAGGTTCTCCTTGAGGGACGATGGGCACAGTACTACCAAAATAATCTTGTGGTTCATTATTTTGAGCTGCCGATGAATTGCTCTCTGCGTTGTTCCCCGAAACGAGATCTGCAGACGGAGTTGAGGGTATGACAAAATCATTTGGTGCGTCCACGGCGGGTAAGACTATTGCAGGTGCGGATGCGACACCAGAAACGACGCGCAGGCGTCTTCGCAATGTGTAACATGACCACACAATACCGCCATGATCTACAGGCGGAGGGTTTACGTCTGAACCTTGGCCCGGAACTGTAGTACTCAACAACCAACCCCGAAACTGATGTGTTGCATGCGAATTTGAATTTTCCAGAGGAGAGTCGGCCGGCTTTCCGGCTACCAACTCCCAAGTTGATGGACTTGAACGCAGGGCACTGTTGGCAAATAATATCTGCAGGGGTGACGTATCCGGTGTGTAATTGGCAAAATCACCCATGTCGACGATAAAAGTTGGTCGCCCATCTTGCTCGAGCAATTCGACTATGCCGACGGAGCCCAGTAAGCGCAACGGGTCGCTCTTGTCGCGCGAATCCGGGGATGCTGTCCGTGCCAGACTCGAGCGCTCCGACGACCTCGCACTGGTCCCGGTTGTCGGGCCTGGCGGGCTCAGGCCGCTAAATGTGCCTCTTGCAAGCGTGACCGTCTTAATGCCACTATCCTCGCGAGTTTTACTGAGCATTCTGGCAGCGGCCTCTGAGCTAGAGAAGCGCGCTGGGAGTTGTGGCCGGGTACTTCGCGATGAGAAGAAGAGGGGCGAGGGAGGCTGATTGTTCTGCCGAATTTGGGCGGTTTTTGAGAAATCCGAATGGCGGAGGGCGTGGTGCGAGCGTGGAAGAAGTTTGCGACGCTTGTGGAGAGGCTCGCTCGCGGGCTCAGGGAGTCGCGATGCGGGCGGGGTGTCGCTGAAGAGGGGCGGCGGCCGCTTTGTCCCAAGGATAGCAGGTGGTGTTGAGGCGACAAGTTTCCCACTGTCTCGTCGACTGCCATGCAGCGGCGGCGCAGAGCCGGGGTGCTTGATGCAGTCACGATGGTCAAGTGGCGATTTGGGGGTCCATGGGGGCAGCAAGTTGGGAAAGTTGGACGATGGGTCCAGGGGACAGGGCGGGTCCGGGGTGTCTGGTGTTTTTACCAAAGATTCGCGATCTTCGCCGGTGTCGATGTTGGGCTGTGCTGGGGTCGAGTCTAGAGACGTCGTCGTGTCATTACCTGTGAAGATGGAACGCGGCTCCAACATAGAAAAGCCAAGCTACAAGTCGTCAGATCAGGCGAAGGCCTATGAAAGCTGCCTCGCTGATCACGCTGCAAAGGTCGGTGTGGTGCAGCCTCGTCTTCAGATCTTCTAACATGCAGTTTCACCGCGTATACGCCGAGTAGTTGACACGGCCTATATCGTCCCGAGCGTTGCGCGCTAGGTGTCTTTGACGGTACAGGCGACTGGCGACTTGCGACAATGGAGATGGGATGTTAATGCAGTTTGTAAATGAGGGGCGCGGGGAAGGCAAAAGGTGACGGCAGAGGTACGGAATGGCGTATATTCAGGCCATCCGAAGAGGCTCTGGGCTGGGACATGGGCGTCCTTCAGCTCTCCCTTGGGCGGAGCGTAAACAGTAGGGTCGAGCAGCAACGCAGATCTCGCTTCAACAGCTGGCCTGGCGTTTCCATGTCGATCGCGATCCAGCCGGGACTGGTGTGTCCCTGTCTACTTTTAGGCTCTTCCGCTGTGCTGGAGACAATTACTATGACGCCGTCCATGGCATTTCAAAATTCCCTGCATGCAACATTTGGCACACGCAATTCCCGCTGGGGGTGTAGGGTGCGCTGTCCCACTGCCGGGCACGTCATCGATGCGACGGTCTAGACCAGAGCCTCGCAGACCGGGCCGCAAACATGCAACACATGCGCAGCCGCGCGACACCATCATCATCGATTGCTGATATCTGCAACCACGCTTGCGTCGGCCCAAAGGTAAAGTCGTATGTTGGATTGATACATCCCTTCCGACGTGTCATGTGCTGTTGATGGATGTACAAGTCGTGTGTCATTGTACCTGCCTCAGTTTCGACACTGCCTTCCTCAGTGCGGCTAATCCTTGTCCCAGCCCGGGTAGTCCCTTCCCTGGCTCCTCGATCCCATGTCAAGCAGCATGTATACCCCGTGGATATATACCCGTGGACACCCCAGACTACAGAAGCGCCTACCATGGCGGCTCACTGGGGCCAACTATCTTTTGGAGAGCCCAGTTTGCTTCTGGAATCTCCACTTGCAACACTGGCTGGCGACATTCCGCCCCTCGACAGTATGCCCGTTCTCACCTGCCAAACGACACATGATGCAACACAACACCACTCACTCACCCCCATGCGACTGTCACGCGCAGCATCACAGTTGTTCAATGCCAACATTTCACCAAAGTAAATCTTGTTTTGACGCCCGAGAAACATTCGCCCTGACACGCGCTCACGAAACTCTATTCTCCATATTGCTTTCTTTTAGTTAATGGCACGTATGCGCTACGAACTTCGTTTTCTCACAAGCTGACACCCAGTCATGCAAGTCAGAATAAACCCATACACTCAACACTTGCACAAATGTGCAACAAGTCGCGACCATGTCCCTCTACAGGTGCTGACATGATCCGGCTGGCGGCACTTGGCGAACGCCGAACGCGGCCATCGTGACACGGACCGACAGCAGCCTCATGGCTTAGCAGTGTGGCACACGTGGCTGAACAATAAATGGCGCATGCACCGCTAAGCCTCATCTCCTCATATCAAGCGTTTGCGATCCACCAACCCATGTCACAAAATCTACTTGACAAAGCAGAATGCATACTGTTGTCAACTCTTCTGGAATCGAGCAATACGATTAGATCCGCCATAACACTCATATCCTCCCCGTCTTCCACAGACTTTCACACTGTATCGTAGAAAGACTCTCAGCACATATTGAACCCCCATGGCGACAATATCATATCATTGTACATCTCACGCCAAGTGTCATCAACCTGACAGCCACAAGTGATAGACTCCCGATTATCCGTAAAGAGTGACAGGCCGCTCCATCACCCCACTTTTTCAACCCGCTTCCTAGTGGAGAGGCCAAGATTCATCACGCTCCTACGCGATGCAGACTTTCTTCCCTTTGCATTTTGCCAAGGTTGTACGGCCTGATCAAGCTGATTGAATGGACCTGGAGCGATGCGTCCCCGAAAGTGCGATGAGATGCCCCGCAGGCAGTGGGTGTTGCCCACTTCGTCCCAAGGTCCCTTAAAAACCCCTCTGCACCCGCTCATAACAGCGTCTTGTTGAACACTCTCCTCACATTATCGTCCTTTCTTTCCTCAATTCATTGTGCTCTACCACTGTTAATTCAACTTTTGCTGAGCAATAACTCGGAACCATGGATTTCCTCAAGAAAAAGATGAAGGAGTTGCTAGATGACGATGATAAGAAGCCCACTGAGAAGCCCGCTGGTAAGCATGGCATGGAATTTGATCTGGCGTTCCAAAGTAACCCCCTAAGATACTCAAGCAAGTGCGCCTCAAGCCGCTCCCCAACAACCATATGGTGGTGCCCCAGGCGGTGCCGCTCCTGGTGACCGCGGACTTTCCGATGGCTACTACGGAGGTGCTCCGGGTGGCCCGCCTCAAGGCCAACAGCCACCTCCAGGCCAAAGCTACCCACCACAAGATGCGCCGCAAGGAGGATACGGGTTCCCACCTCAGGGTCAAGGTTACCCACCGCAAGGTCAGGGTTATCCACCTCAAGGCTATCCTCAACAGCAGCCATATGGCCAAGCGCCCACACCAGTTGGCCCGCCAGCTCCATACGGAGCACCGCCACCAATGCCACCAGGATGGACGCAGCAATGGGATCAAAATAGCCAGCGATGGTTCTACATTGAGCAAGCCACAGGGCGTACACAATGGGACCCACCCTCAAACTTGCCCCCAGGTCCTTATGCTCCTCCAGCAGTCGGTGCACCTTATATGGCACCTGCAGGCCATGATGAACGTGCTTTGTTTGGAGACACTGGAGGTCACCAAGGGCATGACTACACAGCTACTGGAAAAGCGACAAATGAAGCCGAGAAGAAGAAGGGCTACTCTACTGGTATGATGGCAGCTGCTGGTATAGGTGGTATCGCAGCTGGTGCCTTTATCGGCCACCAACTTGGTATGTTCTGCTCCTGTTGCCATCGCTCATGTAGCAGAATGGCTCAAATAAAGTATCGAGTTTTCCGCTAACAATCCCCAGCCGATGACAGCAGCGACGACGAAAAGCACGCTCCTCCGCCCGCAGCAGCCGCAGCCCCCGTAGCCGCCGCCCCAGCCGCCGCTGCATACGACGCCGACCCCTATGGCGCTCCCCCTCCATCAGACAATCCGTACGATAACCACCCAGCGTTTGAAGAGCCGCCCCCAGTTCCCACTCACGACGAGGATGGCAGCTCTATATCCAGTAGTGACCGTGAGTCGCTGGAGGAGAAGCGCCAGGAGCTCATCGAGGCACAAGAAGAGTACCAAGAGGCTCTCGAGGAAGAATATGAGGACTGAGTATTTCTACCTGTGGTTTCGGCGATGCGCTCTGCAGATTGCCTTCTCCTTGTACGGGTTTTTGTTACTGGTCGCTTCGACTGTTGACTGGTAGAATGATAAGACGAATTCAATATTCCAATATTCCAATCATTGCTAATGTATTGTGGTTTAAGTTTGCCCTTTATGTCTTGCGCCCTCAGCCCTTGGACTACCCCACCTAACTCAATTCTAAACTAAGATTTACTCATGGGTTCCATGGGTTCCATTTCATTGATCCCCACCTAACAATCAACCGCGCATCAGCCTTCATTCACTCCCAATGAGTGGAGACAGCATCACATAACAAATGAACAACAAGCGCATTCAAAAAATATCCAAATATCCAACAATCTATTCATGCAGACATAGAAATCAAAGCAAACGCATCTGGTGTATAAACTAAACAATATCACCATCAGACTCCAAGCATACTCATCACCCCAATGATGTAAAAGCCTCCGTCCCTCCTTCCTTGGTATTTCAACACCCCCCAATCCAACACTTGCATGAATATACGTGTCATCCAGTATGTAGAATACAGCGAACAAAACCGTCGCACAGCCCTCACTTGTTGTTCAACACGCCTAACAGCAATCGCAACACTCCAGACAATCCAAGCAGCATTCACACGTCTCGCCGCAAAGCCAGCAGCAGCACAATGTCGCAAGACTATTGAAGTCGAATTAGCTATGCGCTCACTCATGAGGGTGGGAGAAAGGGTGGGGAAAAGGCTTACCAGGCAGTCAAACAACCTCTGCTCTTCTTCTCTTCTTGTGGTGGCGGCGGAGGAGGACCTTGTTGGTAGTACATCTGCACGAACACCAACCGTTAGCCACACATTCAATTCATGTTTTTTTCTGTACTTTAAAAAAGTGCAGGAACGATGGGAACATACTCCTTGCTGAGGCGGCGGGTACTGTCCACCCTGGGGAGGACCATATTGTTGCGGCTGAGGGTAGCTCATACTGGCGTCTTGTATGCGAAGCGTTGACGTTGGAATAGAGACGTGGCTGGTGAGTCGCGTCTAGTGTAGATGTGGGTGTGGCAAAGGCAAGAGCAAGATGTGAAGTGGAGAAGAAGAGGTGGCTTTGAATAATGTGTGGCAAGTGTGTGAGGCGAAGATATGTGTGGAAGATGTGGCACAGCGAAAACGGGGCGGGCTCCCCCGTGTTTTAAGATTGAAAAGAGAACCCGCAACAGCCGGGGCGTGATTATGTTTTTCTGGGATGCTTGCGCGCGTCGCGCTCGCGCTCTCACTTCGGGAATACGGGAACGGCGGATGTTGCTGCTGGCTGGTAGGCTGTGTGGTACTAGGTAGAGAAGCGCGTGTGTGTGTGTGCAAAGGGGCACGTAAGCTCAGCACGAACCAAGCTTTTGGAACATGTCAATCACCGGCTTGAGGCGGTCACGCTCCGAGTGCGAATGTGAGAAGATCGCTTGCAAGTGTTTCCTACCTACTCTCTGAGCGCCACACGTATGGCTGATGAAGCCCACCCTTGCCTTGGCTGCTGTCTGCTTTGACTTGGCGGGAGTGGGGTTTCAACACACTTCTGTCACTGCGGTTCCGGGGGTTGTGCACAAGCCTTGTCATACGCGTATACCGTTGTTTTGCGGGTAAGTCGTATGACAGCGAGATTTCGAGCGTTTCGAAAGATGAACGGACATGTTCGCAGGCTTCATGATGTTGAATGTTTGTTAACTGTAATTATAAAGTCGGTTCTGCAAAACTCTGCTTTCGTATTCCAAGATCCTTCTTTCCATCTGATACTTTTGCCAAGGGGCAGAGTGCTGCTCGTTGCTGCATGCCGCCAGGTGAGGTGTTCTTCGGACATGCAGCAATGCCGTTCGTTCCGACCACTAGTGTCGAATGCGGCCTAGCTGTGGCGCTACCCCCATAGCAGGCAATAATACACGGAACCACGGAGTGTGGCTGAAGTCGTAAGATGTCGATCAGCGTGGAGACCCAACTCCCACAACTGACGTCTGTGACGTGTTGATGCCATACCAAAAGTAACCTTTCAGTGACACTGTATGCGTGGGCTTCCTTGCCAACAAGTTGCATTATCGGCAGGGAAAACTAAAGTCCCCCCCAGCAAATCGTACCACCTGGTGGCGGTGCAAGAACGATGGTGCTGAGAAAGCTCGGATGCGTCCTGCGCCAACTGCTGGGAACACAGTGGATAATCCAGGGTTCCGAAAACCGAGGCCGGTGATGAGGTGCAAGATTGAAGGGACAATGCCAAAGGGTTCATCTGAATCTCACCGACACATCGGTGTCGTATTCTCTTTCTAGTTTACTCCTGAGGCGCAGTTGATGCGTGATTTTTACGAAACGCCGAAATCCTCGAGCTGCACGTACAAATGACGCATCTAGATGTGTACTTAGCTATGGCGCGTGTGACTCGTTACTCGCTGTAATGAGAGATATCTTTAGCAAGGCTACTTCATTCGCTGTCTATCTATTCATTGTTTTGTTATAACCCGGTCGCGAAACGGCGACTTACTCGCGCTTACGTTTCCCCTGTCTTGTCGATAACTTCCTGCGCCTCTTCTGGCCGAGGTATAAAGCCTCGTTCAGCCCTTCTCTTCTGCACCCACTCGCCAAAAGGCTTCCAGATTGCCTCCTTTTCCGCTGGCTTCAGACTTGCGGCTAGACCGCTCGTACTTGTAGTTACGAACACCCTGGACCCCTTCCAGACGTTGCCGTTTCCATCTAGCTCCTCTCCGGCGTCATCCGGAGTCTTGCCCATATTATGCTTCTCGTCCTGCCATCCATACTTGAAATCTTTCTTGCTGGGGTTCTTGCCGTGACGGTAACACCATATGGCTTCCCATATACCCTTGCCTACTATACACACAGCTTCTGGTTTGAATTTGCGAAATTTGGCTTCTAGGCTTGCCGTACCTGCCGCTGTTTCCTCTTTCGACAGCTCAGCAGCATCTTTGGAGGGCCGATCGACAATGTTTGTGTTGCCCATACAGAATTGGGCTGGGAGACTTCGGTCCTCCTCTGGTTTTAGCCGGCGATTTGTCAACCCTGATGAGTGAAGCAGCTTCCAAAAGTGGTTCGATGGGTGCGCGTAAGCGTGTCCCGCGATGGCGGTCTGGACGCCTGGATTTGTACCGACAAAGACACATATCAAATTGGGTTCGAGTATGTCGACAAGCGGCGAAAGATGGGCATATTTCGCTGGGCCGGCATATTTGCTAGGCTTCCGCTTCTTCTTCGGCGGTGGAGAAGGTTCGCTAACACCTCCGACCGCTGCTGTCACGGTCGCCCTTGTGCGCTTTGTCACTGGCATGGGCGATGCCGGTGCTAGTTGATGATTTGCGGTATCCGCGGTCTGCGTATACTTGTACTTGGTCAATTGAGCTCGGAAAGATGTCGATGGAGGTGTCGCTGGCATCTGGTCGGGTTCGGAAACATCGTCATTGCTCGGAACGCGCTTCATCGTGCCTTCCTCTGGATCGTATTTTGTTGGGCCTTTTCGTGGCATTGCATCGTATTCATGCAGTAAATCTACGTACAGCTGAGGAGGAGTACGGAGTTAGCTCAATGGCCGCTTGGAGCCGAAGAAATCACGCGTTTGAAGCACTGTCCATTCCGACAGATGCGGACGCATTGACGTCATTCCTTGGCTCGCACCATTGAACTACAGTACCACGAAGCCTACCATCCAACTCCATGTCCAGAAACACATAATGTCACGCGCATGGCTAAACAAAACGTGGATAGCACGGGGCCACTTACGCCAATCGGAATTACCGAATGACAATGTATTTATCAACGACAGAAACTTGTATAGACCATCCAAGATCTAGACATTGTTTCGTACAACCTTCCTGTCTGTCATCCCATGTTCAATAGAACTTCAGCCAATTGCTGCAGTTGTTAGCTGCGTTGTTATGTGAGCAGAGGCGAATCATTTTTCACATGATTTATGCATATTCAAGATGTCACCCAAAATCGAAACTCTTGGAGAAATGCACGTTGCATGAGGGATTAGCTCATGCTAAACGGTGCGTCCAATCATACATGTCATAGTTGATGTAATCCAATCCATCGGGCGGTTGATGACCATGAACGCCTAACTTACAAAGCATTGTCAACACACAGCCCCTGAGTCCACCATACCGTATCAACACTGTGTAGCCAAGATCTACTCGTCCATCTTCTTGACTGCAGGTTCCCTTCGCGACACTCCCCTAGAGAGCTTTGAAATCAAGGACAGCCACACCGCGCAGATCTTGCTATGCCGCTGTACCATAGTGAACACTGATCCTAGTGAATGCCTAGACCGCTTCAGGATGCACATCTCGATACTAAGGCCAGGACCAAAGCTGGTCGCTACCACCTTATCCCTGCCCTTGCCCATATTTCGGAGCTTGTCCAAGACTATGAGCACCGTTGAGCTTGATGAGTTGCCGTAATTCCTATATACGTCGAGTGAGGCTTTGATATGGTCATCGGTAAGTTGAAGGGCTTGCTTTGCACCCTCTAGAATTGCGGCGCCACCAGGATGAATCGCCCAGTCGAAGGTGGATAGCGGGGAGTAGTGGGCCGGAAATCCATGACCATGCGAACTGCTCGATGCGCTCTGAAGTTGCTTGAACATGGGGATGATAGCGCTGACGGCGGCTTTCGGAACATCTTTGGTGATTCTAGCTATCATGCCTATTTAGTTGTTAGCAATGCTTCTACGTGTATTTCTCCAATACAAAATGAGGGGGATTGACACTTACCATTCTTCTCGATGTCATATGACATGTAGCCCGACGTGCCTGGCACTGCCATGCTTCCATACTCCTCAAGCTCGAAGATCGGTTTCTGGGCTTCCCCAAGCGCATCCCCGTTACAGACCACCAAGGCTGCCGCAGCATCTGAGAACAACGCCGGAGCTACATGCAAGCTGTCGCCGTCTCGAATGGCAGCCTGTAGCTCAGCCCGAAGGAAAAGGCTACACAGCTCACAAGTCATTACTAGAACGCGAGCTGGTCGATGCTTCTGCGATGATGCGGCTACTATGCCGGCAGCTGTACGCAGTGCAGAGAGACCGCCAGCACAACCCACCCCCTGGAGTAAGACGCGTTGTACTTCCGGACGTAGACCGAGTTTCTGACACACAAACAGGTCATAGCCAGGGTTGCCTTGATCTGTGCATGTTACTGCCACGACGTGTGTGATATCGTTTGGTGCAAGGCCAGCTTCTTTGATAGCTTTGTTGCATGCGGACGTTGCGATGTCTCCGCTGACAGCGCGGAAGACGCGAGAGATTGAGTCGATCGTCGGTGGCTCAGTATCTTCTTTGGTCCATTGCGTGTAGTCATGAACGGTCGGTCGGGAGAGGATGTTTGTTTTGTTGTTCAAAGCGACAAGCTTCTGTAGACTGGGGATGTGTTAGCATTCAGATATAGGGGGGCTAGCTGGGGGGGAGAAAATTCTTAGCCCTTTTACATTGGCTGGGTCCCGGATATAGCTTCTCGAATAGCCCCCTGGAACTGATCCCTGGTTGGATGAGAACTGGGGGTATTCGTGGGCTTAGTCCGGGGAAAAAGACCCCCCTCGGGGTTGCCCGTGGGTACCATGACAGTTTGCCAAACGGTCAAAGGGGATGTATCAGAGACTCGAGAAGTAGTGATAAAAGGGTGTAGAGGTATTTGGTTGCAATTGTGAGTTGATTCGCAGCTGTAGTGGTTGCGGAGTTGACGAGGGAATTTTAGGGGTCGCGTTGTAGAGGTGTAGAGGTGTTTGGCTGCAGATGCGGGTTGAGTTGCAGCCGTAGTGGTTGCGGAGGTGACCAGGGAATCTTAGGGGTCGCTGAAGTAAAGCGTGGCGAGGTAGACAATGTACCACGTGCAGAAGATTGCTGAACTGAGTGAAAGAGTTGGCGACAGTAGCCTGTTTGCCCGGGTTTTTCCGAACCAAGTGAAATAAGAGGAAAATGTAGCCCTTTACACAATCTTTCCCGACGTTAACAATGTCTGGCCGCTAGATGCCGAGAAACAACACAATGCTCAAAAGGCATGCTTATAATCTTTTTCTTGACGTAGAGACTCCCGCCGTGTATTGCGCCACTGACGAGAGAAGTGCAGAGGCAAGTAGCCTGTCCCTGGCTAAGACCCAACACCCACCGGCACGAGGACTTGGTATGCCATATCAGAGTGAAGCCACCTCGTGTTCTTTCGCCTAGCCCCTTGCCATCTATTGATGGCTGCAGTGTTCATCAATCTGATATGGCATGCGCCCCTGCGAATGACGACTGCATAGGAAATACTTGCTCACTAGCGCACTAGCTCGCCAGATACAGCGGCATGAGGACTTGGTATCAGCGGCATGAGGACTTGGTATTCCGCAGAATTTGCTCCTCAACTTACAGTCAGGGCCTGGAACTAGGACAACACCGAGAACGAATGGACGTAAGGGCCTTGGTTCAGCTGTGATTGAAGCGCTAAGCAACTAGCCATGTCTCGGAGCGTCCTAATATGGCCTCACAAGAAGTTGATGCACGGGATGGCAAAAACGTACTTAGACTTGTAGGCCTTGAACGCCGTAAAGCCATGACAGTCTACCTCAACAGCCAGCTGGGGCGACTTCTGATGTCGTGGGCGTTCCGTCAACTCTAGGTGTGATCTGTCCACAGGTCAATGTTTTCAATGTTCATAAAATGTGCTCACAAACACCTCATGAAGTTCCCCTCCAACAGCAGAAGGGCGCACTTCGTCAGGGAGTGCACTCCAACCTGTTTGCTCTTCGTGCTAGTGTCCTCGCGTAGCTGCCTTCCAATGGCTTGCTGGAGAAGGCGAACATTTCTCTTGGACTGGTAGCAGATGCTCTTAGGCCCTACAAACTAAAAGACCAAAAGTCCCAAGTGGACGCCACCGAAATCAGCTGGTGGGGGCGGAGACAGCCGAAAGTAACAATGGAAGTGTCTCGCGGACCAATGCCGAGGTTTTCACGTTCCATTTAGGGTAGGTGCACATGTTGGAATCATGGAGGAAAGTACAACTTGATCTCGACCACTTTAGGAAACCGGTGAGCATTGTGACGTTGAGACATGAACACACGTACTACATCATCTATACCGCATTGCCATACCCCCTGCAGTGGGCTGGTTTCACAGACAGATTTCACTCGTGAGCGCAATATACGCCCAAACTCCTATCTTTTACTGTGGAATTCTTCCGTGCAAAAGCAGAAACGCAAACGTGATAACGTGGAAGTCTTAGATCCCGAAATCCCGTGCGTGGGTGGGACGGGACGCCAGGACGATGCGCATACGGGACTAGACAAGATGTAGAATTGTTGGGCATTTGATGAAGACGAACGTTCATGATTGGACTTTGAAATGGCGTATTGTGACTGCTCTATTGGATTTGGTATGGTTGATCACGAAGGAAGGTCATCGCGGGCCGAGTGGGCAAGTCTGGGCGATTTCCAATTGATGCTGTCAGTATCGAAGAATGCTAGATTATGCCAGCTCTCATCTCGATCTTTGCAATCGTATGCGACAGCGGCTCTAAGACATGAATCTTCGCCACGAAGGATGCACATGGCGTCTCTAGCTGCGTGCGGCACAGCCAAAGTGTGTCAGATGAGATTAGCGTCAGACGTCAGACGACGCCAGAACTCGCCGAACACTGGTTGTCATATTCAATGAATGGACAATCAAACTCGGTTCTGCGCTTCTGTCATGTTGTTCGATGATGGTTGTGCGTGTTGTACGATGCAGGGGTTTGCAGAGCCACGGTACGGTCCGTAGTGGGGGCAGGCGGACTCAACCACGTTGGGTCAGGATATCAAATACAACTGCGGCATATTCCTGTAAGACTTTCAGGCCCCAAAAGGAATTACTGATCACATGCAGAACACTTCTCATGCACGTAATGAGAGTGGGCGGGAGGGGCGCCCCGGGTCAGCAGCTTCTGGCTCAACGCTCTGATTACATCGGCGTTTCGGCGAGGCTGTGCAGTCAAGTTGTCATAAGAGTTGTACACGTAATTGAGGCGGCCCTTCTGATTGGGACCGTGAGCTCGCGGGCGTAACGCCCGTCCATTCGAACGTGAAGCAGACATGCGGTCGGAGGGTCGGCACTGTTTACTAATTAGGTCTCACTACTGTGAGTCTGATTATGGCATTTGCGGTGTTAATACCGGCCTTATGTTGCGAGGCGAAGAGTAGGCATGAATAATACGCGTATCTGGTTCCTGCAGGGCTGCCAAGGGTAGACCGTGCCTCACGCAATGCTTGCCTAATTCGGACTACTTCATCGTGGCGGCTGAACTAGCCTAGGATAGGTCCCGAACAAGCTCGCGGAAACGCATCTTTGCAGGTTAGCACGCACGTGGTAACATGTAAGTCTTACATCGACGAGTGCATATTGTTTTGGCTTGGGACACCGTTTTTTTGACGGTGCTGTATATATGATGAGAATGCGACGCCTAATGCAAGCATCGTGACAATGGCTGCGGCTACGCTATCAACCAAGCAGCGAAGAAAGACTAACATGTACGAAAATGGTAACGCACTGCATCCAACAAAGAAAATGCGACGACAGACGGTTATTCAAAACGATAATTTGGTACCAGAGCGACCTACATATCAGTGAGCAGAAGCATCTTCCAACCCCCTGAACTATGCTGACGTGCCAGAAGCGACAACACACATACTGTACCACCCAAAACAAATGACGTCGCTTTCGACATCTACTCACGTCTACCCCGCGAGCTTCGCAACCGTATATACACATTCTGTGTGGAGGGATCTTACGACAACGATGTCATAGTGCGACGGACTGCAGTAGACGATACTCACCGCTTCGCCTACCTCATCCGAGAGCCTTGTGGACAACACTCATATCAATGGGTCGAGGACCCCTTGACTGCCTGTCTGAAAAGGGAAGCTCTGGGCGGAGATGTTGCTCGAGAAATGCTCGAGAGCTACTATTGGACGCGTACGTTCAAATTCGCTCACCATGAGTTATGTCTGCTCGGACCTTTTCTTCGGACCGACGTGTTTGGATTGGGCATAATCCCAGCCCATTACATCAGGCGTTTGCAGATACAGATCCGGCCTCTTGACTTTGCATTCCTCTTGCCAGCCCAGCGACGTTCCGAAGAGGAGCAATGTTGTAAAGCGGTCGAGGCACTTGCTGCAATCCGTACGACCCGCACTGACATCCTTATCGAGCTCGATGAAGCCCAAGACTCATTGAGCGATGCAGAGTACAAGCATTTCTCAAGCGAGGCTGCCCAATTTACGCTCAAATTACGGAGTGTGGTAGAGACCTTGAGGGAGCAAGGACTGCATATAATACAGACCATGGGAACCTAGTGCTGCAAGATATTGGAGTCTGACGAAAGCTGGCGGCGCAAGTTGTTCCGGATGAAGTTTGTCGCCTTCACAAACAAAAATGGGTGGGTGCGTTATCGGGGAGCCATGGCAGAGGACCGGCTTTGGGGGTTTGAACACTGCTTCAGATTTGGGCGCTAGGTGTTCGTCACAATATGTGTCGCAGGCGACCTCGTGAGGCTTTGGTCGATATCTACCTCTGACGGAACGCTGTCGCGACGTAGAAGGCGACACGGATGAGTACTCGGATTGGGTAACACCACATGAGCAGGCTGATGGGCCGCAAAATCTTTTTCCTTGACACTTGTCATTGATTCTCGAGTGGGAGAAGGAAAGTCATAACCAAAGACATATCGGCCACACACTGTCGTTAGCGGTTAGGAAGGATGGAAGAAAGAGTGAACGGAATG